AATCTGAGTAAACTAAAATGTAATACTGACTGAGAAAAAAGTTTCCAAGATGAGATTACTAACAGGAAGAGACTTCTTGTGAGAACATATTCCAGACAAACTAGTAAAAAACTTAATTGAAATGATATGGGGAACAAAATGGACTGTGAAAAAAGAAAATTTTTCACCATGAAAAAAATTCCTTTTGAGTGTATATCAGACAAATAGAAAATAAAACTATTTTAACCACCCTATTAATCATCTCTAGGCAGTAGTATTTTTTTGAAAACGAAATTATCAAGCAGTTAATGCTCACCAGTAATTTAACCGACTGGTGACTATCTTCCCATGTACCATTCTTACTGTTTTTCACCTTAGATATTTACTAGAGAAAAAGAGTTTTCTAAGAAACATAGTCTCTAGTCTCAATGAAACTAACTTCCCTCATATTCTGTAAATTAAATAATATGATATTTTACACACTCATCTGGGAAATTAAGCTTTAATTTTGCTTTGCTAAACCACAATATGACATGATTCAGTGCTACAGAAAGCCACAATTAGGCTATCTCCAATAGTAAATAAATACTAATCTATAAAGGCATCTTTCTGAAAATAGAAAAGAACATGAAAATATTTCCCTCTTTAGTAAAAAGATTCAGTTCATCTCGGAATCACTGAAAAATAAGTAGACATAGACCTAATTACTCACTGTAGAGCAAAGAAAATTCTTTTCTTGAGGCATCTATGCCAAAAATCACTTTTGGTGTTACAATGTCTTAAAAAACCAGAAAATGTACTGTGTAAACCACATGTAGCTAAACTCAATTTTAAGTGGCTGAAGCCCAGAAACAATATTCCTTTGTTTCGAAAATTACCACTTTTTAGGACTTTTCTACTCAAATTTCAATAATCAGTATGAACCTGCATAGACTGATCATTACTTTATACATTATTATAACTTATTAACTCCAAGGAAGTCTTGCCTGCATAATTTTTCCAGTTTATTCATTTTGGGAGAGGCACAGCAAGCATTCTAACATTGACGTGCTCAAAACTTTTGTAAAATTTTATGAGAATTCCCTTCTATTCTACAGGCACTGTATAGAAGGCACAGTGAGACAGGCATCACAGTTTTCCCCTATCAAAAACTAAGGGCCAAAAACCCCTTTATCCGTCTTAACAGGGAATGCAAAGACCAGTGGTGTTACAGAAATCTTTCTTGACTATTCAATTGCTACTAAACTTCTAACTACATAAAAACAATTATTAATATTCACTGAAAATAAACACAAAGTGCAACAGCCAGGCACGCATGCATGATGTGGGGATATTAACAAAGGAAGCAAGGCCCAGAGGCGAGCAGAAGCCCAGGGACATTGACGGACACATGAGACAGCATTACAGTACCTGACAGCCTGTGAGAGCAAGAGGAGTAAGAGAGACCAGGGAAGAAAGCGCTCACGGTGTGAAGGAGGAGCGGGACGCTTTTAGTGGCAGGCAAAGCCTCAGAAAGGTGGACACAGTTGCTGATAGACTGGCTTCGCTTAGCTTCCAGGAAAGATAAAGTAATAATTATGTCAGAAGAACATCAGGATCTTTCACTTCTTTATTATTATTATTATTTTTCTGGGCTCTCCTTAGATATCTAAAGGAGGTCATTTTAAACTTTAAGGAAAGTCAGTACAAAAGCACTGTATTTAATCACTGTCTCTAAATACAGCCAACTTTCAGTCATTCTGATGACATGGGAGAATGGACAATTCACAAAGAATTGTATTTTAGAATGATTTATCTCTTTAGTCTTTCCTTTTTTTCTGCTGTGTATCAGATTCGCATTTAAGTTGTCAGTTTATTTGGGCAGACATTATAATCAGTTTTCCCTTCCTAAAGGACACAAACAAAAAGACCACAGTGAGGGAGACAAATCTAGCCTAAGATGAAAACTGTTCTGTAAATAATAAATAATTCAAAAATTGGTTTGCTGAGAGCTGACTGTATTCAAAAGCAAATCATTTAGTAAATTAAATATCCTAAAAGCTCAAGAACATATAAAAGTCAAATTGAACATTAAATGATTTGGTATTTGGAAAAAAGGTAAAAATCTTCATGAAACCCATCCTTTCATATCACATTTCGTGCTTAATAAATCCATAATTTCTCAGTATGAACTTTATGATGTTCTTAAGTTTTCTATATACTGCTAGTCAAATGACCATGTGAGAAAAATGGAGAGACACAGGAAAAGAATATGCCTCATATATATAAAACCACCATCAGTAAAATCAGTTTTATGCTTAAAACAAAAATATAAAGCTTTACTTGCTGTTTTATTATTTTTACATGGTTTTACTTAACAATAATGAAATAGAGCTACAAACGGTAGTGACAAATTTACAAAAAGTGAAATAAGGTTTTTACTTTACTGACTTTTCCCCCAACCTTTGGCTATCAGAATTTCCAGCTCTAAAGGACTATCTGCGATGCGATTACAATATAATTCACAAAGGTGTAAGACAACATTTAAGTGAAAACGACTTCCATGTGAACATCAAACTGACTGACTTCAAACTTCATAAAAGATCTGTTCATCGCTCAATGTCAGAGACGTTTCATTTGAGTGTTTTAAAAAATTTTCCTTTTATAAATCAAATGATTGTGCATTTTTCCAAAATAGATCACTAGATATTTCCAGAATAATAAAATATAATTATTTTGTGTGGAAATTGACTTGCTTTAATCACTCATTTTAGACATCTAAAATTTTAGCATTATTCACACTCAGGAACAAAGTTTTACTTTACAATTCTTTAAGACTCTCCTTGCCCGTCCTTTTAAATTGCAAACGAATGCATTCTCTGTTAAATTAATTGTCATCTCCCTCCTCTGCAACTGCTTATCTTATATTTCCCTCTTGCCATCATCACTGACATTTTCTCAACATAAATGTAGCCTGTGGGGCAAACCAAAACATAATAATCTTAAATTATTCTCTTACCGAGATTAGGAAAAAAAAGTCACTTTCAAATGGGTCTTCCATCATAAACATCTTAATGCTAAAAGTAGCAAAAACTAACTTCATGAGCTACTCTTCTCTCATTAAAAGGCGGCCTCTACCCAAACCAAAATCTACCATGAAAATGTCCTGGGCCTTTTTAAAAGATGAAAAGGTGAATTACTGCACAATGTAAAAATAATAGAACTGAGTAAAACCATTACTATTTAGTCTATATAGATTAATTTTATAAAACAGCATGATATAATAAAATCTTCAAAGACCACTGTTTTCACAGGCAACAAAAAAGATTCATATTTTATAATTTTTAAAAATGTAAAATAAAATAAAAATACTTATATATGTATCCATACATATGTATGTGTAAAATACATAAAGATAACAGATCTGTCCAGTTCAATAGCTCTCACCTTCATTACCTTTAAAGGTTTTGGTTCCAAGTGTTTTTAATTTAATTAATCCTACAAAGGCCAGGTTTATGGTTTTTAAGCGACATACTCTACAAGTACCTTGACATGATTTTGTAAAAGTTCTTATTTTTGCAATACCATAGCTTTTCAGAGACATTAGAACACTGATAAACAGAACCTCACTCACATAAATGTACTGAGGATTTTCTAAAACATACCAGTGTCTTGACCACATTGTTGGTCTAAAATACCTGCTGAAAAACTAAGATACAATCTCTTCTACGGCTGTTGTGGCCAAGTAGTGGCATATGGAACATACAATATGTTCCATATATACATACATATTTAATGAGCAATATACAATAATTTGCTGCTCATTAAAATGTGAGAATAAAGTTTTAAAGAGTGTTTTGAACAATCACTTTTATTAACATTATAATTCAAGGGTTGTGAGGGACAGGAGAAGTCTGGGAAGCTCAGGCATGATGCCACCTTTGTCATAAACTTCTGTTCTGATCCTTTTCTTTAAGTATTCAGTGATGGAAGAAAGGACTTCTGAGGACTTGGGATGAGAAAGGAAATCAGTGAATAAGCCTCCCCTAAAGTTGCCTGTTATCGGGAATTGGGTCTCTTCTCAAGGAAGAGGATGAAGGAAAGCAGAAGTAGAACAGGAGGTGTGTGTAAATAAGGTGATAATTACCAATTAAAGCTACGGCAAAAAGCCTGAGACAGTCAGGGTTAAGGTATATTTTCATAAAAACTCCAACAAGATTCTAAGCCACCTGTATGAAGCTAAGATGTAAAATACGCTGAGTGTAAATGACTCTTTGATTTATGACCAAAGGATATTGTGACTCTCTGCAGTCAACAAGCTGAATATCAATTACAATTGCATGGAATTATTGATGTGAAAAACTACAGGAAACGGAGATACATTTGTTTTAAACTTAAGTTATAGCCTCAAAGTCACTGGGGCGGAAGGGGATTTCTTTATTTGTTCTTATTAAATACTGGATGTAAGCTTACTTTTTAAAGATTTCTTTTTGTCCTAAGAGTAAAGTGAAGCAAAGCACTCCGATTAACTGGGGGTTCTTGGTCAAATTCTTGTTAATTCTAACAGGCTGTAAGGACATCTACAGACATGAAAGCTCAATTTTCCAAAGAAGCAAAAAATTCAAATGTCTCTGACCAGTCCTGAAAAGTAAGTGCATTATTCTCCTTTTCTTTGCTGGAACACGTTGCCTCACTCTCTTAAGATTAATATTGTTCAACAACAATAATAATGCAACTCGTGTGATTACTAAGAATCTATTTCCCTTAATGTTCAAGCAAAAAATCTATTTTCTCTCTTTTGCACAAATATCTCACTCAGTATTAACATCTCAAGTTCTTTTTCACAATGAAGAATTTAGAAATAAATACCAAAAACTGATTTGAAGAGTAACCAGAAGAGAAAGTTAAAAAGATATAAAGACATCTCATTTAATGAAAGGTCTAGTATGCAAGTTCTGAATGGAATTTTAAAACATTTTATTCCTATAAATCCATTTTAGATAGCAACTAGACCTTTGAAAAATATTTAAATAAATGTTTACCAGTTGCTTTTTGGCGAACAATATTTCTTGCTTTCTCAACTCCTGGTGCCCCTGATGTGGTGGCACTCCTAAATCGCATTGGCTCTGTCACATCCGGGTGGCTCCGCCAGCTGAGAGAAAAGGATCTCCCCACAGCGGTTCCTTTCTGAGAATCTAGAACACAGCCTGATAGAAAATAAGACAAGAAAAATAATCTAAAGGCTCAATTCATTATTATTGATTTCATAGCCTCAGTTGCTCAGCAAATTTCATACGTACATTTATATATAATCAGCAGATTCTCTTGTTGCAAATTAGGTACCACTTCCTATACTGCAATTTAGGAAGTTAGTCACATATCAGTAATCTAAAAACTCCTGTTGCCAAAGTATTTTTCAAGCATCTCCAACAGTCACATGAAAATTACCATATCTTCATAGTACTTACTCCAATATACAAAAAAATATATTAATAAACCTTTCTCAGTATAAGAACGATGTCAAATGAAGTTATACCACTGCTCCCAGGACACTCCAAAAACTACTTTTATAAACCATAAAATTAGAGATCCTGATTTTTGAATAATATTCCATCTTATAGACACCAACCTCTTCATAAACCCCCAAGAGAAGTTTATGTTATAAACTCTAATTAGAGTCAGTCAAATGAGAATGGATAATGAAAATCTACAAATAATACAAAATTTTATTTTAGCGAAGCTCCAAAACAATAAAATATTGCAGCTCTGCAATTCAAATTCTCTTCTTTCCTCTCACATTGCCCTGGTCAAATATTTCACATGAGTAGTCAAGGATCCAAAAGAAATACAAGAGAAAAGAGAATGAGACACAGAGAGATTTCCACACAGGTGTGATGTGGCTGGTGGCTACCACCTGTGGCTTGTTTTTCACACACAGATTCCTCTGAGAGTATATTTTGTTTCCACAAGTCCAGTGCTTGAAAGGAAAGTATTTCTATAATGAATATTTACATATGTTTTTAGAATAAAGCAATACAATAAATCAAAAATATTTGCCAAAGCCAATAATTAAATAATTAAATTTGTCCTGTATTACTCTGAAAATAGTGTTTTTGAAGTTGTTTACCTTCCTAAGACAAGCCTATCTCTTCCCATGAATCTGTGTTCGCACAGTGAGAGGAAAGAGATTATTGTGGGGGCTCAGGGAGAGGGTGGATTACAAGAATTTCAGGCAGGAAAAAATGTGCTTAGTTTGAGAAGGTCCTTGTCTCTGGGAATGGTTGTCTCAGCAACTCCCGTCCATCCTGAAGGGCATGCCTGGTCAGGTAGACTCTCTTCAGGGCTGAGAACCACAGTCTTAGAGAGCCAAGTTCCTGGCTGGAAGCACCTTGACCCCATTAGACTCGGTTTACACAGAGGCCCTCAGAGCTGCTATAGCGGACAAGACAGAGAGGCCAAGGGCTCAGGTTCTTGGCTCCCTGCCCCTACGTCAATCTTAAATCTCCAGTCTAATATATTTTTTTAGGAAGGGGCTCTGTACAGCTTCAACTGGGGATAAAAAAGGATCTGCTGCTAAAACATGTTAGAAAGTCATTGCATTAAACGGTCTAAATCTAAATTGGAATTAAACTGTTCCACTGGAATGCCATGTACTTAAAACTACTTTGTTTGGCTTCTTACTAACTTGTTTTTACTAATTGGTGCTTTGGCAAGCCACTCACAGACTGCAATGAAGGTATTTTAAGAATCAGTCATGTTAATTACATGTCTCTATGGTTAACTAATCATTGTAATTGATTCACACTTCCCCATATCAACATCCTCTGTTGTCCTGTCCCACACTGAATCTGGGCTTCATCACATGACTTACTTTGGTAGCAAGCAGAGATTTGAAATGCACTTGAAAATTCAGGCTTGCCCTCTTGCTGCTCCTGGAACTCTAAGCCATTATGCAAACTGCCCGAGCTAGCTTGCTAGGTGGTGAAAAATATATAGCCAACTCGTCCCCATTGCCCAGCTGACAGCTAGCCAAGCCCCAGAAGTAGAGCTGCCTAGTTGGCTATTTCACAGCCTGGTTGACTGCAAACACAGGAGTGAATCCAGCAGAACTGCCCAACTGAGTCCAATCCAAATTGCCAACTCATAAAATCATGATCTACATAAATGGTTATTTTAAGCCATTATGTTTCGAGGTGCTTTGTCACACAGCAACAGCTAACTGACACAACCTATACTAAGGCTACTGTTGAGGTTGTGGTCTGCCATAGCAAGCAATGAACTCTTTATGAGTCTTTGGAAGAGAAACTCCCCCCAGGTCTTAGGACCAGGAAAAACCATGTATCTCCTACGCAAGTGGATTGGTTTTACCTTTTGTATTCTGTGATTCTCTGATGTAACCCTGTGAAGATCAGAGTCAAATCCAAGCCTGTCCCCTTCCCACCTCCCCAGCAAGCACAGGAGGCTCTCCGGCACGCATTCTGGCATTTTAATCATGCCCGTAGCTCCACCCTCTTTCATTTTGCCCCAACGTCCTTATGTATTTTATCTATTGTATTATACGTATTTCTATGAGCTGCCTCAAAACCTTTACATAGTAAGTTTGAGAACAAGTAAATTAATCCAAGGACTGTGTCATAGCCTTAAAGACAGTAATGAAGACAGGGGCTGCCAAACTGTCATACCCAATAGAAACCATGAGTGATGTTTTCCACCTGGATCTGACTTTAGGTCTCAAAACAATTTTTACCCAGAAACACAACAAAGCCAAAAATGACTCCCATCTGAAGCATTCAGAATTTTTCCACCTTTCCTAGGGAGGCAGAGAATACACCTTAACCATGTGGCATCTTGAGTTGGACTTGCCTGGCTTTGATTTCTGGCTTCACCACTTCTTACTATGTGAGCTTGAATGAGTCAATCACTGTGGACTCTCTGTACTTCAGTTTCTTTGTCTGTGATATCAGAATAGTAGTGTCTACTTCAGAGGTTACCAGGAGGGTGAAGAGAGACAATATGTACAAAGCAGTAGCTATTATTATTACTGTTATTACTACTACTGCTACCACTGCTACTGCTCCCCTTCATCCTCCTTCGTCTTCCACAACCTCTCCATAAATTCATCATCCTCATTAAGGGGACAGAGTGCTATGAGACACCATCTAATGCCACCATTAAAAAGATACTGTGGGGCTGGCCCCGTGGCTTAGCGGTTAAGTGCGCGCGCTTCACTACTGGCGGCCCGGGTTCGGATCCTGGGTGCGCACCAAGTCATCGCTTCTCCAGCCATGCTGAGGCCGCATCCCACATACAGCAACTAGAAGGATGTGCAGCTATGACATACAACTATCTACTGGGGCTTTGGGGGGTGGGGGAAGAAAAGGAGGAGGATTGGCAATAGATGTTAGCTCAGAGCCGGTCTTCCTCAGAAAAAAGAGGAGGATTAGCATGGATGTTAGCTCAGGGCTGATCTTCCTCAAAAAAAAAAAAAAAAAAAAAAGATACTGTGTACGGCTGGTTCAGTTTATTATGAAATTTCATGCAATACTGCCTAGATGTATAAATACGCACCCCTCCCCAGTCTCAGACATCTGGTGTTACCCTGTAAGAGTGGAAATACCTTTGCCTCGTTGCTTCTTTTCCTTTTGTTCACTTAATTTGTCCAGAGGTAGGTTTGTCATCTCAACTCCATAAACGGTTCTCGCGAGCACTGCTGTCAAGGAGTCCATGATGTTGGCCCACTCATTGATGAGCTCCTCCCATTCAGTGAGGGAGGACAGCACACCAAGAAAGTCATCCCAGAGCTCTCGAGAAATGTACACAAAGAGGTTTGCTCGGATCCAAGCCACAATGAGCGTCTAAAACCAACCAACCAACAAGAGAATTCAATCATCTTCAATTGCAAAAAGTATAATCTTTAACAGGATATTTTAAATTACTATCAATAAAATGAATTTTAAAATAAAAAGTCCTTTTGGATATTTTCTTTTAATTTCTCCAAATTCATTTGATCAACTGTAATCAGGATTTGAGCTACTGTGAAATTAGCTACCATTATGAACTAAGCTACTGATTCAAAATTATTCTAGTGTCTATGGCTGGTCCTGGCCGTAACCGGAGAGAAGACAAAGCTCTCTGTACAACAACTACTGTTTCCTGAGACAGCTCTTTCCCTCATTCTCTACAGGCTACTTCAAACCTTCTCCTCTATATGTAAACCTCCAACCCCACCAACTCCTCTCTGATTTTTAGGAGATGAACTCACTGCAGACTTCAGAGAAAATAGAACCCCTTAAACAACAACGCCCTCAACCTCTGCCCACAAGATCCATGCACTTGCCTAGCTTCGTCTCCACGTGAAGGCTATAAGCAAAGACGGGCTCCTGCTCTTCTATACTTGTCCCCTCCTCTGCTTTGGCCCTCTCCCTCAGAGTCTGTGTGTTTCTATCAGCCCCACCTCTCCTTTATCTCCAACCTATCCTACTTCCCCAGTTCCTCCCCATCAGCATTTAAACATGCTCCAATTCTTCCTCATCTTAAAAAAAAAAGCAAAAAAGTTCCCTTAAACTCAGACATCCCCCTCTCATAGAGCTCTCTTTCTTCCCCTTTCAAAGCCAAATTTCCTGAAAGAATGTTCCGCGCTCACTCCATCTGCACTTCCTCATCTCCCAGTCAACTGACTGCTCTGGCTTTCTCCCTTCCTACCCACCCCACTTTCGGCCTGAGTTTGGTCTCCATTCTCATGGCTCCACTTATCATCTGTATACTGCTGACTTCCGAATCTCCATGTTCAGCCCACGCCTCTTTGCTGGTTTCCTGACCTACCTATCTGCTTACTAGACAGCTCTACTTGCATGTTCTGCAGGCACCTGTAACACAGCAAAATAGTAAAAAGAATTTGATTTCTTCCATTGAGATTCTTCTAGTTCCTGGACCTGGTCTCTCTTGCTCCTGGCCTTTGCACATACTGTTCCTTCCTTCTCTTCCCTCCTTTTTGCCTCTTTAAACTCCCACTCATTCTTTAGGTCACAACTTGGACATCACTTTGTCCAAGGTGTCCCTGACTGCCACCCCACCCCCAGACTCTGGTAAGCAGCTTTCAGTTCCCACAGTTCTCTGCATTTCCTCCTCAGAGGCCTTATCACTCCTTTCCTGAAGAGTCTATTCACTTCTCCGTGTCCCTCCTCTAGCCTTATGGTCCACAGCACTATAATTGGTCACATGTGTGGTCATATGACCCACACAACTGGTCAATTATGCATATATTCTGGATATTTCCTTACCTTGAAATTGCCCAGTTCCTCACCTCTGCCAAAATATTCCGCATCTTTTAAAATTCAAATAAAAATGTGTCTCCTTTGAAATACGTACCAAGTCCATCCCAGACGAGCCTCAGATCCCTTCCTAATCTTAGTAGAGGGAATCTTTATATCCAAAGTCTGTGTAACTTTCCTGATCTGTGTCAGAGCTAAATGTACTTGTTAAGGTGCCAACTTGCAAATATTTCTGCCCAACCCAGATGCAAATATGCTCCCACTGTCTTCAAGGATTGTACGATGCATGGGAGAGGGATGAATTTGCTTTTTAATTAAAAGAGAAATTTTTCTTTAACATAGATATAGGGAAACTTTGAGATATAAAAAGCAGTCTGTAATTAGACAGACCTGTTCTCATCACTTCAAAAATCATATTTAAAGTGACCCTTTTGTAATGTACCTGTTCTCTATCTTTCAGATCATGTTTACTATACTTTTTAAAGAGGTAAAAATGTTAAAGTTGAGCTAAAATAGTTAAGTACATTGAAAACCAGGTTTTAAACACTCAGACTTATAATCTAAGATGAATGAATTTTTTAAAAATTAAAGACAATGCAAAAGAAAAAATTAAAATAATTTTATCATTTATAATTAATACTTTATTATATATTTTTATTATGACTAAAATGCCAGCTTCTTCAAATTCATTTTTACACTCATGTTCTCAAAATAAGTTTGAGGCCATCACCATAAAATACACACATACAACAAAATTAATAAATAGTAGATAAAAAATATTATCTTAACAGAGTAAGAAGAGAAAGTAGAGACTGGCCATGTTAGCAGGACTCAGCCTCACATTTGTTTCTAGCACTAGCTTCGGGTTCAAAGGCCGATGTTTTGGTGCGGTAAGATGCCCTGTATTGGGAATCTTGCATTGGCTTCACTTTATTGACTAATTATAAAACAAGGACAGAACAACAACTTCCTGCAGCTTACAAAATTCATCTCACAGACATGTACACAGACCCGTTGAATCATCATCATAATTCACAACTACTAACAGCTCCACACAGAGCAAAATCATAAAATATAGTCAGGGGGTGAGGACATGAAGGCAGGACATGAAGGCAGGGCATCCTTTTAATAAGTTACTCTTTTCTAAGAAGAAGAGTGACAGAACTCTTGGTTCTGTCACTAATTTGGTTTGTAACCCGGGCAATTTACTTGGCTTTTCTGGAGTCATATTTCTCGTTAAAAATAAAAAGCTGAATAAGAGCATCTCCAAGGTTCCTTCAGCATTGAAATTCATGTTTTATCAAATACATGTTGACACACAAGCTGTATTAAAAAAAAACCTTCACCTGTAAATCACTCCTTTTCTTATATACATTTCCTAGACAGCCACTTTCTACATTTCTCTACTCACTACATTAGGGGACTACAGAACTTTAAAGTAATGGCTCAGGGCCGGCTCTGTGGCTTAGCGGTTAAGTGCGCGCGCTCTGATGCTGGCGACCTGGGTTCGGATCCTGGGAGCGCCCCGAGGCACCACTTCTCCGTCCAACGCGAGGCCGAGTCCCACGTACAGCAACTAGAAGGATGTGAATCTATGACATACAACTATCTACTGGGGCTTTGGGGGGAAAAAACTGAATAAATAAAATCTTTAAAGTAATGGCTCAGACTGTAAACAGAAGGACCAGAGTCCAAGTTTACTGATGTACCTTCAGAGCCTCAAGCATAAGGTCAGATTTAGCACTGACAACAGACTAAAACATCATTTATGACAATCACCATTATCTGGTAAATATTTAAAACTAAGTAAAACTCAACTATCATTTGAAGAAAATTTGCCAACCCAAGTGATCTACTAACAGAGAAAAAACTACACACTAAAGGAAAAATTAGAAAAAGATAAAAGGATACTGGCAATTTAAAATTTCCTGTCCCCTTTAATAGTCTCCTTATTCAAATGTTTAAAAATTAAGCATCTGGCAATTGTCGACAGTCTGCATGACCAGGTGAATAACAATTAGACGGCACATTTTAATTTTAGTATGGGACTAGATGATGCTCACTTGATTGCCTGGCAGATCTGTCTAGACCTTTCACATTTTTCTCCCCCCTTGGATCTCACAAAAGGACTTGGAAGACCAACAGAAGATCATAAATCCAAAATGAATCCTCTCTGATTCTTATGGCAACCCTGCAAGGTAGGAAAGAATCCTTTCCTGGTTGTGACAGATTAGGGCAGAGACTCAGAAAGGTGAAGTAATTTGCTCAAGGCCACACAGCCAGGAAGTGCCAGAGCTGGGGTCAGAACCCAGAAACTGTATAACTCCAAAAAGATCATCATTTCTCCACTATTTTATGGTTAGTTCTTAATGTAAGCATTCTTGATCCATCTAACCATTGCCAAAATAATAACAATGGCATCAAAATCATTGATCATGGACTCAAAACTAATCTTCAAGCGACATCTGACAAGATTTCTCCATCAATAAGGGGGATTTCCACCCCCAACCCAAAACCAAACAAACAAACAAAAAACACAACTCCACAATAGATTCTGGCTTAATTCAGTAACAAGTTCTTGCTCTAATTCCAACATACACACTAGATGCAGGGCCAGGCAACTGGTGAGGAATGAGGCCCAGGAAAGAGCCTGAGCTTGGCTTCAGGCCATGTCACTTGACAGTTCCAGTCCCAACAGAACTGGGAGATCAGGAAGGTGCCAACAGTGAGATGCTCCATGAGAGTCAGAGCAAAGTCAGAGCAAAGACACTGAGGATAGCGTCTGTATGTCCAGGTGGGCAGCAAAGCAAGTGGTCAGTACCACCCCCGAGGCAAGAGCACAGCAAAGTTGGAGACACACAAAAGGATGTGTAGACCACGTCATATATCCAATAACTAGGCAAAGCAATCAGAGTAAAAGGGATTATATTATTCAGGAGGCAAGTGAGCACATGGCAATTATTTCTGCAGCCTCTCAGACATTTTTCTTCAAGTCAAGATCACTCAATCATAATAAATTATTAAAAATTAATATGAACAGTTGGGTTCTCTTGTGTTACAATGTGAATATTTAGCTTTATTTAAAGAATTAATTTCTCTTTTTGTCACCTTCACCTACGTGTCCTACTTGTCTTCTAGATATGCTCTTAATATATATCCTCAAAAACCACCTTCAAGTCAACTGAAGAGGGAAGTTAACAACTTCTCCCTGCAACTGTCACTTCCAGCTCATGATCCACCATGCTTTCTCCTAATCAAATTATTCAAAGCCAGGTCTATCCATTGTACTGATGCCTTTACTTGTGCAGAATGTCACATTTTTCCAGAGTCCTTCACACTGTTCTCTTTCAGAAATGCTTCATAAATTCTATGCATCCCATAAATATTAGTGCTTTCTAGAACAATGCTGCAATAGGCTACTGCTCTCAGGATCCTTTAAAACTTCCACTTCCCAGGCAGTTAGTTCATCATCCGCCTTCTCTTCTCTCTCCCTTAGGGTGACATCAGACTACTCGTGTCCTTAACCATTCTCACCACGTGAGGTGCAGGAAACACAGCTACTTCCTTGGCTTTCTACTCCCATCAAGGCCAGCCCAGCCCTCCTCACCTTACCAAGGACTTCACTTCTGCAGTTCTCCTCTCTCTCCACCAGACTATCTAACATGTTCTCTCCCACACTGGGCCATCTCCACTGGCGAGCAAACATACTTTAATACCACCTACCTTAAACCCTGCCCTCCAGGCATGCTGCCCGCTCCAGCTAGCTCCCTTTTCCCTCCTCCCATCTACATCAATATCTCTGCAAAGCCTTGAGTATACTTGCTACCTCCACTGCCCAGCTCTCATTTTCTCCTCTATCCTCTCCAAGTGGGCCTCAATCCCCTAAAACATTAACTACCTACATCTTGTCAAAGCCAATGGTCAACTGGCAGTTCTCTTACCCAACATTCTTCTCCAGACATTCAGGATACATGCTCCTCTAGTTTCCCTCCTAGCTCCCTGGCCACTCTTTCTCAGCATCTTTGGCTGGCTCCTCTCCTCCACCAATTATGGAGATGGGTTTCTTCTCTCTCTGCCACTATTCTCTCCCTAGGTGATCCCATCCAGTCGTGTGGCTTTAAACACAACTGACCAACACATCAATGGCTCTCGCATTTTTATTTCTAGCCTGAACCACTCCCTGACCTTATTCCCGTTCCCAAACTTCTGTTTATCCTTCACCTCTTCAAATCTACCTGGTGCTCCACCAAGGCAATCAGCTCTTCTCATCTTCCAAATTTCTACCAACCTCAAACAAATCAAAAGAGGAAGTAGATGGCAGAGAGGTGGGAAGGTCTAAAAGAAGCTCAGCACTAACTGTAAAGAATAGATTAGAACCTTCAGGACAAAGCTAAGAAGAAAAATTTCTAGAAATTTAAAGTTAGGTAAATTTTACTCAAAATTCTCAATGATTAAAACTAATTCACTGTGAAATCTAATTCATTTCTTGCATTTGCAGAGTTTTAATGAAAAAGACTTACCCTAAACAGTAACCCTGCCAAGCTCTGGGCAAATAAGTCCTTTATTTGTTTATCCTTTGGCTTCTGCATGACAGCTTCTGTTATCCTGAGTAGTATTTGCAACATCTGTTCCCTGCGCCACCCAAAATAAAAGCTTATATTATTAATCACATCTCCAAAGCACCTTAATTCATGGGTACAAGAAATTCTCTTAAGAATTCAGCAACATTGATAATCATGTATTCCTTAAAAGTATTAAAAATCCGAATGCCAATTACATAACGAATACCATATTTTATCAAAATAAGCTACTTTATGTTACAACAGTTGTAAAACTATGTCTCCTCCTGATGCCCACATCAATAAGAGGGATAAAAGAGGTATCATCCTGGCCTGATTTTCTCCCCTTGCACAAAGGGAGGCAAGATTGTTTCTCCAACTGTGCTGGGGTCCCGTAAAGGCACTCAGTGAGTAGCAGTGCCTGTTTGAACTTATGCAGCAACCTTTAATTTTCACATCTATTATTTTATTGACCTGTAAGGTCTCCCTATCTACCTTTGTGATAGAAAATAAAATTGACCTTCTGGTCTTCATTCTGGGAAGATATGCAGTCAGCACCATTGTATGACCGAACTCCACAGTATTCTCACAGGTAGGAGGGTTTGAAAATGTCACCGTTGGTCACTTGGAGGCACAGAGCTTTATGCCTGAAAGATCCTGACTCTGCACCATGGGGCACAGCTGAGATAACTGCAATCACGACATCTTAGTCACAGCATCCCTCACAGAAGGGGGCTTTTATGTAAAAGGTCTTTGAAGAGTATAAAGCACTGAAGAGGCAAAAATAACACTGCTAATTATGATAATAGTAATAAGTTCTTTAGAACAGCCAAAGGGCATCTTTCTTTCTTACAGCTAAGTTACATTCTTCATATCAGAGTGTCTGCTCACTTCTTTTCCTAAATTCCATGGAAACTGAGAACACTCTATCTTTTGCAATATAAGGGAGGTCTGTTTGTTCTCTGAGGGAAATCACCCGGTTCCTTTTAACTTCTCCTTCGAGGTCTTCTACACAAAACATTCATTCATCTTTATAACATTCTCCTTGGCCTTACTGCTCCTTAGTGATAAAATCGAGAATTGGAAAAGTACTCCAGGTCAGATAATGAGATCTCTAAATCACAGTTCCTTTTTTCTCATATTTCTGCATACTGGTACACTATTTTCTCTTAACATGACGTTGAATCTCATTCAGCTTCTCATGGTATAATGACCTCTAGGCATTTCCTGCCCTATTTGTAGCTGATCCCATTTGATTTTCATCCCGGGGTTATCTGTTGGCATACACTCTCGCTGCACTCTGTTCTACTTGTTTGCTTGTGCTGTACACTGCCTATGGATTCTGGAAGCAAAGAATATCAAGTCACGGGAGATCTGGGCACATGTGCATGGAGTGGACAGCGACTTTGAAGAGGAGAATGAGGGAAGAAATGATGCAGAAAAGAGGACAGCCTGTCGCTCACCACATTCTGGGTCCCCAGGCCCCTATCGCAGGTGCGGGGAAGGGCAGCCCCCAGTGTCACCACTGCCTGCTCACATTATGTCACGCTTAAGACAAAAAAAAATGATCCCTTCCATATGAATGGTTACATACCCATCCTGCAAACATGATGAGAACAAGAGACATAATAATTTTCGAATCAAATCTCAGTCACGGGAACTGCTATCAAAAACTGCAAACCTGATCAAAGCAATGACTGACAAAGACAGGGTTAATTTAATTTCTGAACCTATGAAAGCTTGGAAAGCCATGAAATTCCCATGCAGAGTCTTCTGGAAGAAAATGAGGGTGAAAAAATTGTCTCCAGTTTGGAAAAACCTTTCCTAACAGTTTTGACTCCAGCTTATTCCTTTCTATTTTGTGAAACACTGACTTTTGGTGACTCCTCTTCAAAGGAAAACGGCTCAAAGAGTGTAACAAACTCCTATTAGAGCACATGAAATTACACACATGTGCTGTCCTGCTGTTGGCAGAGGAAGAGGATTTTCCTGCACTCCTCATTATTTACTGTGTCCTCATCTTCTCACACAGATGGTATTGTTACTCATTCACACGCCAGTTATTCACTATTTCAGGACCACTTCTTAGCACTTCCTTGGCTACAAGCCCTGGTCAAAGCTGCTATCATCAATGGCCACAGACTTTGTGCTCCTCCCCACTGTCTCTTCTCCATGTGGCAGTCAGAGAGGTCTTTTGGAAATGTAAATCAGGCTGTGTCACACTCTTGAGCACACACAGAGAGGTAGTAGTGTCCTTCCTGAGGCCTGCAAGGCCCCATGCAACCTGGCTCTGGCTTGCCCCTGCCTCATCCCCTCCCACTCTCCCTCTCCGTCTCCTCTGCCACATAGGCTGTTGTCTTGTGCTGCCTGGAACACACCATGCTTGTTACTTGCTGTTCCTTCATCAAGAATGCTCTTCCCTCAGATCTCCCATGGCTCCTCTCTCCCCTCCCTCAGGGCTCTGCTCAGAAAGGCCTTTCCTGACACCTGATGAAGAAAACTCCCCTGCCCTCCACACTGTCCCCTTCCCCAGCCTCACTGTTGTTAGCACTTAATCCCACTGGTATTGTTTCTGTGTTCATTATGTCTCTCAGTCTATGAGGACGGAAAACTCACGAGGGCAGGAACCTAGTCCCTCTAGTTCACACCTTATCCTCACAGCAGAAGCTCAGCAGTTACTTACTGGACGACAGAGGGGAGGGAACTCAGGGATTGTCTGGTACTAAACTACATAAGAAAATTTGCTAGGGAAACAGGTCACATCCCTTTCTATGCTCCACAGACTATTTTTTGGTATTTTCATCTATTTCTATAATTTGTTTTTTTATATTTTTATCTGAAAATTTCTGAATTATTAAAGAACAGAGAAGAATTGCTTAATGTTATTTCTTAGAATTTTCACCAAAAAAATATTACCAAAAATATCAAAATACTGCTGATACAATGGTATGCTGAATTCATAGAGTTTTCAAAGAAAAAAAAGCTATCAAAATACTATTGATATAACTGTGGTATCGAGGAGCACATATTTCACTTGAAAGCATACCAGCATTTCTCATTATTTTCAATATTACTGATGCAGCATTTAACTTTGTTTAAATCATATTGTTCATCACTGTAATATTTCCAGCTTTAACAATTGCTTCTTGGAAAATACTGCTAAGTTTAAAAATCTGGGAAAGAATGACATTGAAATTACATCTTAAAATAATCATTTTGATACTGTGGTTTCTGTATTAGTGAACTTTTTGTGGGACAGGATTCTTCAGGCCCTCCCTTCCCTCATCTGAGAAAGAAAAGGGCTGGACTCGATACCCCGGAGGCCCCTGCCAGCTCATTTCTGCCTCATTTCTATGGTTTCCACCAACTGCAGAGAGATCCTTCCAAAGCACCCTTAGTGCTGACTCAAGGAGGTCCAGAAAGGGCATCCAGAACACAGCTGAGTAATGGGGACCCCGAGAATTTCCAGGAGGGAAGTGTGCCACCAGCGCTGGTCTGCAGTGGCCTCAGTGGACTGAGAGCCCAGCCCAGAGAAAACTGGGGGAGTGCTGACTACAGCCAGGCAAGCAGCGAGGGCAGCTTCTCTGCTGGAGGGTAGTGGCTGGGTGGGAGGAACATGCGAAGGATGGACTGGAGAGGCATTTTAAAGGCAGAACAGAGAGGCTGCCTTTCCGATGCATGAAGGAAGAGAGGAGTGGAAAGTGACTGTGAGCCACTCTGATCTGTTGCTGAGAACCTCTGAAAAGACCTCAAAACTGGAGTGATCTGAAGACATTCATTATGGGAGAAGGGCACAGGAAAAAATTTAATGCATCGTTTACCTTTAGGGGTATTATAAACACAAAAACACCAAACAAAAATGAAGGATAAAAATGAAGACATTTTACGTAACCATATTTTAACACCACCACTATATTTTGTCTGTACTATTTATTTAGCCACTCTGACAATTTATCACTTAAAGTTATTGTTTTTCCAAAAAGAAATTAAAACTTGAAGTTTGAAGCAATAAAAATCAGTTAACAGCATTTCAGAACAATTAACAAACTCTCCTGGGCTTATGCAGAATGAGATTATAAAACACCAGTTATACTGCTTTTTCACAAAACTGTTTGATGATAGTTTAAAATGGAAAAATCTACTATTAAGTAATACAACTACTTATTCTTAATTCAAGAACATTTTTAAAACCAATAATGAAAATAAATGAACTATCAAAGTACTGGATACTTACCTTCTTCATAATTCACAGAAACTGTTACAAAAGACTAATTATTACCTTATTGTTAACTTTGTAAAGCCATTTAATAAATAGAGGCTTTAACATTTTAATTATGTTGAAAAACAAAAACATCTGTTTTACGATATTAATTAATTTGAAACAAACTTACCATGTCTTTTTATTCATTGTAAGCTCCATTATCATGCGCCTAAAAATAATCAACACAGCTTTACAAGTATCAACTTGTTCTTTCAAGAGCATGGGAACTTCAGCACATGGTTCCAACAAAAAGACATTAGCAGCATTTGTCAAAAACACCTTAAAATCAACAAATTTTACATTAGAAGATATAATTAAACATATAAATCTGAAAAAAAATTTGCTTAAAGATAATGATATTAATTTCACTTTACCAATGAATCACTTTGTGTTTTTTCAATTAAGACAAGTGGTACCAATACACACTCAAGAATTTTTTTAGTTCAACTCTTAGAATCACTTAAATACTGAGATACCTGTAAGACCTTTCCTAGAAAAAAATTACTATTACATATTAATACTGCAACTTTAGAAATTTTATGAATCAGAAAAGCTTCTGAGGACTTCTTAAAATTCCCTCAAAAAAAGTGGGGGGGTGGGGGGGAGAGAAAAAGTAAGATAGGATCACCACTTCTGGGTGAGAAATTTTGGGGTGGGGGAAGGGGAGAGGAAGAGGAGTTGTGGTCAGCCAGCGGCTAGAAACAACTATCTGATTACTGTTGACTCTCCCAGCACAGGAACAACTTGCTGACAGGAAGCACGGCCAGCCACGCCCAACAAGGGTGTGGACCTCTAGGAGAAATGGCGTGCCAGAAGTAGTCAAAGCCACATGATTGACACTGCACATCTTCCAGGAACACATATTTTTAATATGAGAACTATATTATGCAGTAGAATATAAAACCTAAGTGAATTATTAAGATAAAAACATTTCACAATATTTTCAGATAGTCATCCAACAGCTCTACACTCTGCCTCAGATCTGTAGGATCTTCAGGAAAAAGAATTTTTTGACCAACAAACTATAGCAGTTTTAGTGTAATTTTTGTGAGTCTGTTTTTTAAAGACGTACGCCATAGATGATATATTGCAATGTAGATCCTTTTAATTCAATGTATTTGGCTTCTTGATTTGAATTTGAAAGTATTGCATATTCCCAAGTAAAAGTGAAGAGTCTTCATGTATTATACTTCTTTCACTTTGCTTTGTAAAAACCTCAAAATGCCAACTCCAGAAATATTTCTTATTACCGTGTTAGTGTTAAGGTAAAAATAAATAAAATTAACATGTCCAAACTGTACTTTTAAAAAGCAACTATAGAAGAGTACTATCTTATCAAACCTCCATTTGGCCACTTTCTCCTAACAAACCAAGCAAAGGACCAAGGTCCTGGATACAACGAGAACAAAAACAGCTATTTAAATCCAAACTAAACACTTGTTTAAAACTGTAGCACTATAAGCCAGTAGAAAATTTTTTCTTGGTTACATCCAAGTAGATGTAACTTATCCTTTCAGAAAACAAATAACACTCTTCTGAACCCAGGGAGATAACTGGCACCCACAACTCCCACTGGCTGACAATGGGATGTCTGATGGTGGCAATCTGGCAATCCACTTGGAGGAAGGGGGTTACTGAGGGAAACAGGACAGGGACTCCTGCAAGTATTTCCCTGTGAGGACACAGGTTATATTTATGAGCTGCACCAAAGTTCTTGGAAGCTACTCAAGTAAAATCATCTTGATTTTTTTTTTTTTTGCCGAGGAAGATTGGCCCTGAGCTAACATCCGATACCCATCTTCCTCTACTTTATATGGGATGCCGCCATAGCATGGTTCAACGAGCAGTGCGTCAGCACGCGCCCGGGACCCGAACCTGTGAACCCTCGGGCCACCGCAGCAGAGTGCACACACTTAAGCTGCGCCATTGGGCTAGCCCCATCTTGATTTTTTTTTTTAAGTTAATTTCAAATTATTTGCTGATTTATTTTTGAAAAATGAGAAAATTCATTAGTTACAGCGTATTAAATTGCTAAGTACCTTGAAAATAAAAAGGATAGCGTGATAAGGAATCCTATGAAGAGACAGATGATAGAAATACGGCGTCATTGAAAACTGGGTAAAATGCATGCCATGCCCATGCCATCCCCAGACTCCACGCCTGGCCTCTGTGTGCAAGGCCTAACTGGACTCGACTACAAACATGGATACAGCGTGGAGGGTGGGGTGCCAGGGAGTAGGGGAAAGAGAGGCACCCTGTGTTTTCACTTATACTCTAACAACTTTCAAGCTGGGTGGGACCCAAGAGGTAATCTCCAATCCTCATTTTTGAAATAAAATCCTGAGGTCAGGGGAGATTAAGTGATGAGCCAAAATTGTTCTTTCTGATGTCCTCAAATGGTAACGGTTCTATTCCATATATTCATTCAGATAAACATCTAAAAATTAATACATTAATCATCATTCTTCATAAATGCAGGTAATTTTTAAAAGGAATATTACTTATAAGATTATATAATCACCATGCTTGTCTTGTAAATTCGAGTCCAGTTACTAACTTCCCATATGTGTTCAGAAGATACTTTTCAGATTTAAATCTCAATCATTTTGCATTCACTGCATAATAATTCCTCTCAAAAACCTGCAACCAGTTCATATTTCTCCTTTGACTAGAAAAAAAAATCTTTTCAAACTGAAGGTGAGAAATCAGGAAGAAAACATAGAATGAGAATCTAAGGGTTGTTTACTGACAGATGGCTAAAAATACCACCATACTTTATACGATGTTATCTCAATAAACGAAATGTTCAAAGTGACTCCAACTGGGGGCCTTTCCATCTCTGGCTGGACACGCACCTGCAGCATGGCCTGGGCCCCGGCTTTCACATTCTTATTTTCCTCTTCTGTCACACACCCTCTGTTCACCGCACTCGTGAAGGAGTATGTTCGTCCCCAACTGGAAGATCGCTTATGACCGGAACTTTCAGACGAGGTCTTTAGAAAATAACAATCAGTTAACAGAGGGGTAAGAAGACCATATTTGCATATTTAATTCCTCACACTCACCAGAATTCACAAGAATATGGTTTCTAGGAGGGGAAGTCTTTTTTCCTTTTGTTCACTACTCTACCTCTAGAACCTAAAATAGTGCCTAGCATTTAGTATGTGCTGAAGAAATAAACAAACATCCAATGACTGAATGAGCATGTAAGACTGATCTTTAAAATGTGATAAATTCCATTTGCTTATTTTACATTTTAACTTCATGACTAGTTATTAAAATGATTTCACCAATACTAAAAAATCAAAATTATGGAATTAATATAGATATTTAAAAGTGATATGCCTTTGGTTACAAATATTTTTAAATGTTTGTTGTTAATTGCTATAACAAACACCCACTTTTAGAAATAATTTCTCAGACTAGATTTCAAAGTAGAGTAAATATACACCTATAAATATGACAAGTTTCTTTTATGTTTCAGGCACAGGTCCCACTCTGTTGTTTTATATTTACCCAGCCTCTAGCTTTATCTAACACGGTAACCTAAAGTTAGCTTTATCCAAAAGGTCCACTCTAACAGCACCCGCTTTCTGAGGAGCATCCAGCCCTGCAGTGAGGCTTATTTATGGTGGAGATAACACTCACTATTAGGTTAGTTCTTTCATGTGTATAACATCTTGATTTTTTTCTGGTGCAGGCCACTGCACAAGAAAAGGCTCCCAAAACATTCTAAATTTAATTTCTCAAATGCTATTTAAACACGTCAACAATAAGGCAGTGACTTTTTTAGTCTCATACAGAGACGTGTAAAATATGATGGTTTATTAAACAACTCTCATGTGATGGTGAATCACAAAGCTGTAACGCACTTGTGACCCTGGCCTGTGGGTTAGGAGATGACAGACGATCTTGAATAGAGCACAGAAGCAGCCTCACTGAGGCAGGTCCTCAAGGAACTCAGCAACTCGAGAACATCAGATATGTTAAAAAAAAAAAAAAAAAAGATCCACCTGCCTATGTCCCACTGACTGGGACCCTTGACTGGGCAGGTATGCTTTGCTAAAATATATATACTCCCAACTAAAACAACAAATGATAAAACACTACCTCCTTGCTGTCAGTCTCTGAAAATTCTAATTTTTCAGCATCTTCTTGGGCAACTTCTTTTTTATCTGGTTCCTCCATGAATACAGGTTTATCTTGGAGGATCCACTTTCTGTATACTTGAATTACTTTTCTTGTTACAGCTATGTCACAGGAAGGCAACAAAAATGCCTAAAATGAAAAGAGAAAAACTTCCTTTAACTCTACACAAGCTCAGATCACTGGAGCCATATAACAGACATTTCCAACGGCCATCACCAACTTCAGACTTTCCTTTGAAACATACAGCTTGTGAATGTACTATAGGAGCCAGGTATTATTGTGCACACCAAACTTATCTGACGAAAAAAGGCATTTTCATAATTGGGCCAGAAAACATAATGCAACTTAAAAATAACTACTATATTATGAATAATTTTTCCACAAAAATAGCCAAAGTGCATACCTATGCAGGTATTTTAATTGGCTATATAAACAATAATAATTGCACAACTGGGAACTTTTCCCAATGAATCAGAAATACATTATAAGATAACAGACATACTAGTAGAGCTAGGTGCAGCCAATTGTCACATCTCTTCCCAACTCCATGTTCACTTACGTCATGTTGGTAGCTTGAATTGGCCATGGCAGGAGTATTTACACCACAGAGGTAGGCAAGCACTACCAATCAAGGCTTTTCTCTTCTTTTTTTGCCTTTTCCCTTTCCTTATCTTTCTCTTCCTTCCTTTCCCTTCCTTCTCTTTCCTTCCTCTCTCCCTCCTTTCCATCTTTTTTTGAGACTCAGCTGTTCAACATTTACCAGTGCACTACTGAGCACAGATACCGATGTTAACAACAGCCACTGGCCAGTTGTAGCACTGTGCATATTTATGTGAACTTTTTAACATTAAAGAATCCCTTTACACATCTGAATTAATATATAGAATAAGAATTTTGATTTAATGTATAAGATAACAAAAATGTAAATGGAATATGCATTTGCTTTTTGGGTATCAGCTTTAAAGAATATTTCTGTATGGGGGGGTGAACACGAAGGAGAGGTACTCAACACTCTGATGAATGCTTTAATTCCATAGATGAGAAATAAAGATCAAGCTCAGAACCCCTGAGATATTTCCCAAGGTCCCAATATTTCCTAAAGTTAGTTAATGATGAATCTAGGTCTTGATCTCAAGTTTCAGAGATTTGTTTTAATACCATCCTTAAGGTTCATGCTATAGGATCCAGTTATAGGCAGATTTCAAGGGTTCAACCCTTGTCACTTATTTGAAGTGACAAGGGCTCATGCAATATATAAATTTTCCATAGATGGTGGTCATGTTACATCAAATTTCAGAATAGAGGAGTTTCTATAACAAGACGGCAATGTATCAACGTATCAAATATTCTGACTCATACCTTAATAAAGATCAAGAAAGACAAGAATATGCCAAAGTACAATGGTGTCCCATTCTAATTTTGCTCCAAAATTTTATTACAAATATTTTCACACATATAAAAAGAGTTGAAAGACTTTTACAGTGAACATTCATATACCCACCCTCTAGATTCTACCATTAGCACTTGTATATGTGCTTTACCACATATCTATCTGTCAATCCACTCCTCTCTATCCTTGTTTCAATCCATTTTCTTTTTGATGCATTTCAAAGAAAGCTGCAGATATCAGTACATTTCACTCCTGCAGATATCAGTACATTTGAGCATGTATCACTGAACTCTATCACTGACTAGAGTCCAAAATTTATTTATGTTACTTTAGGTAAAATTTATAAACAATGAAATGCACAGATCTTAAGTGGACCATCTGATGAGTTTTGATAAATGTAGACAACTATGTAACCCAAATCTAACATCAAGGTATATCATGTTACATTCCCCCCAGAAAGCAAACATAAATCCTTTCTGGAGGAAAATAAAGTCACAGTAAAACCAAAATTATTTGTACAGTCTGGTTAGTATGATATACGGCATCTTAATAAAAACTCAGAAGGGCCAGCCTAGTGCTGTAGCAGTTAAGTTCACACGTTCTGCTTTGGCAGCCAGGGGTTTGCCGGTTCGGGTCCTGGGCGTGGATATACTCGCCACTCATCAAGCCATGCTGAGCCGGCATCCCACATAGAAGAAATAGAAAGACCTACAACTAGGATATACAACTATGTACTGGGGGCTTCGAAGAGAAAAAAGAAAAAAAAACAGGAAGATTGGCAATAGATGTTAGCTCAGGGCCAATCTCCCTCAAAAGAAAAAACCAGAAATATGAGAAAAGAAGTCAATATTAACAAAATCACAATAAAAAATAGACAACAGTTTAAATGTATGTGAAATCTAGATTAAGTAACAGAAAGAGATATAAATGAAATTGACAAATGAAATAACTAAAATTAAAAACTCAGTGTATAAGAACGACAACAGAATGGACACAGCTGAAGAGAAAACTAGAAGAAAATATCCAGAATGAAGCATGGAGAGACAAAAGGATGTCTAAATCAAAAGACGAGGTAAGAGGGAGAATACAATGAAAAGGTTATCCTATGCATGGTTGGAGATACAGAAGGAAAGATTAGCAAAAAGTGGCAAAAACAAAAAACAAAAACAAAAACAAAAACAAAAAACAAAAAGAAAGAATGGCTGAGAATTTTGCCAAAATTGATAAAAGATATCAATCCACAGATTCAACATCACAAAGAAACACAAGCAAGGTAAGTACAAAGTATATTACAGCAAAACTGCTGAAAACCAAAGACAATCAGAAAATCTTAAAAGCAGCCAGAGGAAGACAGACACATTTCCTCCAAAGGAGCAACCACATGACTTCACATAACTTCTCAAAGAAACAACGGATCAAAATAGTCAATGTGCAGAAAGAAAACAGCTACTTACGTAGAATTCAACATCCATAAAGAATATACTTAAAAATGAAAGCAAAATACAGACATCTTCCGATAAGAAAATGAGAAAATATGTTACCGAGGGACCTGATCTAAGAGAAATACTAAAAGTTATTCTTTAGGCAGAAGGAAAATAATCCCAGGTCAGAGATTTGCTAAGGAATAAAATGCAACAAAACGGGTAATTATTTGAATAAATCTAAATGAATAAAATACATATGAATAAAAAGAAAAAATCTGGGCAAAATAATTATAGTTCGGAAATAGATTATATATATGTATATGCACATATACATATGTGTGTGTGCATACAGGTATAATATATATTTTCATACTATGGATTTCAAATACACAAGAAAGGCATATAAACTGAGAAGAAGTAAATGAGCTAAAGTGCATACTATGAGGGAAAAGTTGAAATTAATGCTAGATTTTAAGTTAGGGATGTAGGCTGTCAGCCATTAAAATATTACAAATGAATATAAAAGTACTAATGTAGAGGAGAAAAATGAGATGCTAAAAAAAAACCAGTCAAAGAATTCAAGACAACTAGAAAGTAAGATAGTAAACTTAAATACAATTATAGCAGCTGTAATGTTAAATGTAAATGGAATAATGCTCCAGTCAAGAGAGAAATTATAAGGTTTAAATCAATTTTAAAAACAATTTTAAAAACTATTAAATTTTTTAAACTACTAAAAAGACTATATGCCATTTATAAAAAGACATCCAAAACATATGAATATGAGGAGGTTAAAAGTCAAAAGTCAGAAAAAGATATATCATACAAAAACACAAACCAAAAGAAAACTGGTAGAGCTATATTAAGAACAGGCAAGATCAACTTGGAGGCAAAAAAGCATTACTAGAGATAAAGAGAGAAAATTCTTAATGATAAAAGATTCAATTCAAAGGAACATATAGTAATTCTAAACCCGTCCTGCAACTAATAATTTTGCCTCAAATATTTATATAGCAAATACTGATAGACTTTGAAGGAAAATATGGACAAATCTACAGTCATAAGTAGGATAATCTCAGTAACTGGTAGAATAGCAGACAAAAAATACAAAGAGAAGAGAGTTGAACACACACTTCATACCTTCTCACTCTATCCTCCATGCCTCAACCTCTCATAGTTTTCATCTCTTTGTCTCTCTGAGGTGCAGTCAGGATAATTCCTTCAGATCTGTCATTCAGTTTATTCTCTCTTCAGCTGGATCTAATCTGCTATTAAACTTATCCATTGAGGCTTTCCTTTAATATTTCAATTATCACTTTTTTTTCACTTCTAGAAGTTCTATTTTTTCCTATTCCAATCTGCTTAGTCAACTGTTACAGTTGTTTCTTTAAACAGGTTAAAAATATTCATTCTAAAGTCTCAATTGTATAACTGAAGGCCTTGTGAGGTTTTCCTGCTTCTTCTGACTTGTATGTATAGAAAAGAAAAGTTTTGACTTACAAATTCCTAAGTGGAAGAAAGAGTGACCCAAAATTATTATACCCAGCTAAACTGCTATTCACATGTAAAGGCAAAAGGAAAACATTTCCCATCACAAAAGGACTCAGGATCTAGAGTTCCCAAGACACCGTCCTGAAAACACCCACTCAGTGACAAAATGAGGCCAACCAAGAAGTCAATCAAAGCAAGTATTTTAGGACTGTGGATACCAGAAGGAATGAATCCATCTAAATAAAGAATCAAGACTCAACAACTCATTAGGATTCCAAAACTAGCTGCAAATGGTGGTAAATTTATAATATAAATTTATAACAATGAAATCAGTAGAGAGGAAGAGGTGGCTGAAGAAAATATAAGACTGCTAATTTCTTCATATTTCATAACAAGAAATCAATATGCTATCTAAAATTATAATATGTAGTTAAAAAGTGATTCCAATACCTTAATGTTATTATAATATTTTTATTATAGACAAATCTGTTAGCAATTAATATTTCTTGTGGTAAAAGAATGTTTACTTGAATTTCAACAATTCCTTCAGTTTCACTTTATAGTCACGAGCCGCATACATTTCAGTCAACGATGGACCGCGTATATGATGGTGGTCTCATAAGATTAGTACCATACAGCCTAGGTGTGTAGTAGGCTATACCTTCCAGGTTTGTGTAAGTATACTCTACGATGCTTGCACAATGACAAAATCACCTAACAACACATTTCTCAGAACGTATAACCATCGTTAAGCAACATATTACTGCATTTTGTTTTCTTCTGTTAAATTCAAGTAAAATAAAATTCAGAAATCTTCATTAAAAATCCATTAAAGATTCATTAAGAATTAAAGATTCCATTGTCACAGAGTTATTCTGTCAGCCCCCACCTCCACCCCGGCACTTCTCCATAGCTACCCTTGCCCCTGTCTGGTTTCATCTTTACCTGTCTCTGTCCATGGCTATCTGCCTGCCTGTCCATCTACACCTGCCGGCCAAATTCTCTGTCTGTCTGTCTGACTGCACCGATCCACCTGTACATCTACACCTCCCTGCTTATTTCCATCTCTGCCAGCTGGCCTGTCTACATCAACCTGTCTGTTCTTCTATGCCTGCCTGCCATTTTGTTTATTTCTATCAGCTCATCTGTAAGCTCTGCTATCTATCTGTCAGGCTGTGCTCCATCTGTTTATATCCTCTCTTACCCATCTCCTCTCTACCAGTCTCTTATCTGTATATCTAGCTAGCCAGGCCAGCAGCCATATATATACATACAGAAATACCTAGAATGATGCTCTTCTAACATCAATAGTAGTTACTTAAATGGTAGTGTTTTGAGTGATTTGCTTTTGCTTTCTCCTCTATAATTATATATAGAGAGGGACTGTTTATCTAATGAGCATTCATCTTTCTTTAATAAAAATAAAGTTATTCTTTAAAACAAAACAACCTAATGAATAAACATCCCCGAGAGCACTGCCTTGAACTTTTTAGGTCATAACCTAAGACATTTTACAGAAGGATATATGCATTTGTATATACATAAATAAATAAGAAGTTTCACAAAGAAATACTACTCCTTACAATATGCACTGCACTATGAAATGTTTTGGTCTGTCCTATTTTATTCAATTCCATTATTTTTTTTAAAAAATACTGGTTGTTGACCCACTAAGTTGATTTCATGACCTACGAACTGTCACAACAGGCAGTCTGAAAAACACCAGTTAGAAGACAAGTTTCCAATGGAGCAACCCAGAGACCAGAACTGTCCTACCTGAAGCACTCTACCACTGCCAGCCTGCCTGCTGGGGGCAGCAGTAAACTGAGGCTGCCCTGAACCTTGCAGAACCTCATCTCCCATCAGTTACCGTCTACTTCCACTGCCTTCAACTCACTGAACCACCTAGTCCAAGATGACTTGCACCATTATTAGCCCCTGCTGTGAGTCTCTCTGCTCCCAATGGCCCCTCGTCAGCATTTATTCCCATGTCACACACATGGACATCTGATCTTCTGCTGTTTCGCACCATTCTCTAGTGCATACACATACTTATCTCCCCACTGAGAAAGGGTCCTTCTTGAATGTATATTTTAAAATTTAATAACCTTTAGGCTTAAATACTCTGAAGCCTTTAATTTAAAACTGAAAAAAATTATTATGAAAGAAGTCACATTTTGTCCTCCACAAAAGAAATATTCTTCACTGACCAAGAGAGGGCGATAGAAGGCAATGTTAAACCCCATGCCCCTTTTCCTAAATGTCTCTATTTCAGTATTTTAACAATGTATAATACTCATATTTTAAATTTCACATACCCACTTTCAAACTAAATTTGATTAAGAATAATTATAAAATGTAAATAAAATGTTTTCAAGCTTCATGGCACATAGATGTCTCATAACTTCAGTTATAAGCAGTCTGCAGTTACCTCAATGACCCAAGCTACTTCAAAACGGAATTTAGATTGGATTTAGGATTTAGATTGAATTTAGAATTTACAGCACACTAATGCCAGGAGTGGGATGTCAATAATGGATGCAGACAGAACTATGTGCACGATAAACTGACAATTACACAATAAAGGTAAAACCACATCAAGCGTACTGACCTCTGCTCTGAATCATATGCTCTCCAGGATCCTGACTATTTCAATTCAAATTAAATCTTTACCTTCCATGTGTAAAACAGGAACATGACTATGCAACATTAATGGAGGGAATAGGACAGATTTTTAAATCATGGACTATTATGACAAAAGAATGTTTTGGCAGCATGATGTGTACAGCATAGATTAAAAAGGGATGACACAGAAGGTGTGGGGCTCCAAGGAGCGTGCTGCCAACCATGGTCAAAGGAAAAGGAGAGAAAGGGAGTGAGAGAGCCCCTTGTGTGACTTGCCCAGTGATAGCTCATAGGAGAAGTTGATGAGGATCCGAGAAGGGTGAAAATTATATGCATCTAAGAACACAGGTCCCTTTAAAGAAGCAGTCAAATCAGGAGGAGAAGCTGATGTTAGGGAAGGAAATGAGCTTAGCTTTGGCCTTGTTATCATTAAGATACCACAGCAACGACGGATGAGATGGCATGTGGGCATTTTAAAGGGCAAGTGTGGAATTAAGAAGCAAGATCTGGACAAAAGGCTTGATTGGGAGTCATGTGCCACAGTGCTTGCTGGCACTGGGCGAGCAGTTGCAGGCCCCAAGGAGGCAAGCGTGGAGTTCCAGAAGCAGAGGCTCCAGCCCAGAATTTTGGCCAGCTCTGCTAATTTAGAGTGAACAAGAGGGACCAAAAAATGAAACAGAGACGAAGACACTGTCAGGCAGTGAGAAGAACCAAAGCAGTGCTAGGCCACAAAATCAGACAAACATTTTATAAGAGGAATTTTAATTGCAGATTAAACAAATTTTCTTAAGCAGAAATTTTTTATTCATTAAAATACAAAATATGGTAAAACCTCTAGATTGCTGTGGATTACGCTTAGAGTTTCATTCTTGGTTGATTTTTTTTTTATGAAAGTCTCAGAAGTGAAGCGTTCATCATTCACTATTTGGAAATCCTGCCTCTCCATAAAAAGGTCTTCATGGTGCGTGTGCACTGCTCATACATGTACAGGAGTCTTCCTCTTCTCCTCACCAATAACAGGTCTCTGTCTTTCAAGGGTCTCACCTTCTGTTCCCGTGCATGGACTAAACAACCATTCCCCCGTCATACACACACCCACACAAGAGCCATTCTCTCTGTTTTCCAGGACACCAGGACCAAGACGCAGGTGGTCAGTGGCTCCACCCCGGGCTACAGAGCTTCTGTCTTCTCAACTGCACTGAGGGTTCTGCTTTCTCTGCCAGACGGTTACAGCTCACGGTTTCTCCACAGCAGCACTATCGACATTTTGGGCCAGATTTTTCTTCTCATGGGTTGGAGGGAAGCTGTCTGTGCTTGTAGGATGTTTAACAACATCCCTGGCTGCTACCCACTAGATGTCAGTAGCACTGTCCCCCTCCCCTATTGTGATAACCAAAAATGTCTCCAGACATTGCCCAATGTCCCCTGGGGGGCAGGGTCAGCCCCCCAGTTGTCACCCATGACTGCTAATCATTGCCCCAGCCTCTGATCTCTTCTGTCTTCTTCCCTTGCTCACGCCGTTTTCCCTTTTGTACTCTGCTCTTCCCAACACCTTTTCAACCACCAGTTTCCACCACAGGTCTGTTATTTCAATGTCTTGGCCTCAACTCCTTTCTTTCCTTTTATTCCTCTCCTCACTCACCTTTTTCCCCTTACACCATAAATATTTCTATCATATGTACTGCCATATGCCTTTGCAGGGAAAATAGAACTGTTTCCCGAAACCTGCAGCTCATTAGAGAGCTCCCTTAGGCCCTGGGAACACTGCAGCCTTGGGCTCTTCTTTGCTATGTTCACTTGCTGATGAGTATTCAGGAACAGCTTTCTTCCCATCTACCTCTGGGTTTAAAGTTTGTTATGGAAACATGAGGGTAATTGTGGGATTATTTTGCTCAAATATAGAATTTTCGCTCCATATGTAGGACTTTTACAAAAACAAAATTTTTAAAAATCACAAAAGAAACAAAATCACACCACTCTACATGAGTGTTGATGATTTCATTAAAAGCGGGATCAGAGGGATCATTATTCAGTCGTGTAATTTAGGCCAACCCATCAATAGTATTTCTTGGAGTACTATGAATAAAAGAACAAGAACAAATCTCTCTTCAATTTCAGGAATCTATCTCACACACACACACACACACACACACACTAACCTGGTGAAATATTTCATTGACGAAATTGATATAACCTCGAGTTGACAAGAGAATCCGCTGCACCATTTCATACACTGTTCGGTGCTCTTCTTCAATGCTACAAAGGCTTGAGTTGCTGAGTCTTCGGTCGGACAAGGTGCTGCTGTTAGAATGGCTTTTGTCCTGCTCTGTGGGCCCGCCACCATCCATCTCTGGTGCCCTCTCTTGCACCGCACCACCACTGACAGTCTGGAAGAAAGTCATGACCACTTCTGAGTGACCCTATTTGACACTCAAGAACATCTAGCAAAACTGAAGACTTGCTTCATTTTAAAGAGCTCTGGTTACCATCAACTTGATAGCAAGCTGGAAACCAGCACTGCTCAAAGCACAAAGGGATCCGGGACCTATACTTACCAATTTTCCAGGTCACCAACTAACCCCTCCCCAACTCAGTTATTTTAACAGGAAAACTACTAAGATTATTGCAGGGAGGGAAGTTGTGAAATTTTATCAACCTAAAAAGTTTATTTATATTTGTAGAATCACAGACTAGATTAATGTGTAAATGAATTTATATTAGTATCACCTTTGGTCTCTCCACTTCAGCACTTACTCTACGGTCAGAGAGATTTGAAAATTCGGTGGATTTTTCCCAGCCATAATGTGGGAAGCATCATTTGATTCTTAAGACTCTGTGACACCTTGATGGAGAAATGCCAAGATCTTTAAAGGGCATTTATGAGAAAAGCCTTGACCTGAGTTTCATATTCACAATCTCAGATCAAACTTAACTGACATATTTATAAAACCTTAAATATTCAGAAGACTTTAAGAGCACAAAGAAATAAAATAATTCATGCAATGACTCACAAAGTTTAACGCTGATTTCTGCTCTCATTTCTCCATAGAATTAAAGGTTTCCGCCAAACATAATACATGTATAATTATGCTTCATCTTTGTAAATTCTACTATTAAACTTTTAAGTGTCAAAAATATTTAACCCAAATACCACTAAAATTCTACCCACCGTGAATATTTTTCACAAGAAGTAACTAAGATATGAGTAGTATAAAATAGTAATTTCAGTAACTACCAAAGACAGTTTGAAAGCAAAGCAGATATCCAAATAGTAATCTCTGGGAAAATTAATGGAAGATAATATTTATAATAACTTTTCTCTTCCTGCCTTAGCTATTAAGCCTGTGTGGTTTATTAAAGGCACTGTCACACTGTGAGATGAGCTATCCTATAGAAATTAGTTCATCTTTTTGATGGATCAATTACCTTCCATAGAAAAATAAAATTTTACTCATTTTTACTGACACGTGTTTTTTCAATCTGTAAAGCATGGTGGTTGGATTAAGCCTAATGTCTCTCCATAACTTGCGAATTTTTGATCAATAACTCTCATCCATTTTCCCCACAGGTCCAAAAAGAAAAAAAACCCCACATATATACATACTTATGCAGCAAATTAAAAATGGCCACAAATTCTTTGACACTCCTTACTTAGAAAGGTAAAGTCTATAACCCCTCCCTTTGATCCACATGGACTGTGTGACTGTGTTAACCAGCAGAATAGAATGGAAGAGACCTGTGCCAGTTTCAGGCCCAGGCCCAAGAGGTTGACAGTTACCACTTCCCATCTCTTGGAACATTTGCCCTTGGAGCCCTGAGCAGCCAGGGAAGAAGTCCATCTAGCCTGCTAGAGAGACTACATGGAAAGGGAGGCCCAGTGGAGCCCAGCCTTCCAATTGCACCCAACAAAGTAACAGTCACGTGAATGACATCATCTCGGACCCTCCAGACCAATCAGCCTCCAGCTGAAGACTACCATCCATTGACCTCAGTTAATGCTGCAAGAAGCATGAGAACTGCCCAACCAAATCGTGCCCAAATTCTTGGCCCAAAAAGTGAAATATGTAACATGATAAAAGGGTTGTTGTTTTAAGCCACTGAGGTTTCAGGTCATTAGATAACACAACAATTAAATAACTAAAACAATGTACATAAAGAATTATGTTTAAAGGCACCCAGTCATTTAAAAAATGAGCTCTGTTATCGAAATAGAACATATGGTAACATATATGGATTTCCCATCATACCATAAATTGAAAACCACTTCTCTTGATAAAAGGATGCTTTTCTTAACCTCCTCTAGTCCACAGACCTTCTGCAAAAGGCGGCCTTTCAAAAACATCTATATGTTTTGACAGACATTGATAATTATAGTAAGTGATGAGAATGTAAACTAACTGATAATCCAAATCTACTCATTTCTTGTCTCTCTTACACAGATTAACAGTAAGAGCATGAACAAGAATTAACCATAGAAAGAGGTCCATTTTCTGCCCACTACAATCAAGCTAGAATTCTCAACTATTATTTAGCATTAGTTGATTCCAGTGGTAAACGCAAAGATGACTTTTACCTCTTTGGTGTATGAAGAAGGCTTAGTCAGTGAAACAGACATATCTGCTTAGACCAGGCCTGTGCTGCCAGGGCTCAGGAAACTGCGTGATACAAGCTGTCACTTAATCCTTCCCCTCCACCCTCCCTACCACCCTGGTTTCTTCTCAACCCACAGCTCATACTGAGACTTGTTCACCCTCAGGGTCAGGCTAAACGAGGACACCCACAAAGCAGGTGTGAAATGAGAGGATGCAACTGTCATTCTGTTGGTGATGCCTAATGCCACTCAATCCCCCGGTGGTGATTTACCTACACAGTTGGGGGCAGCCTACGTTTGCCTTGGTGGAGCTTAAGAACACAGAGAGTACTACAGGGGTAGTCAGCAAACAAACAAGTTTATACAATATACAAACTCCTGTAGGGCTGTCAGTTTGTGTGATTCACTTTTTCTGACTGTTCATCCCATGAAATACAACAATTTCAGGAAACCCACAGCCCATGAATCATTATTGAAGGGTTGGTTCAGAATTAGTAAAAGTGGTACTTTAACTAAAGAGTTATCACACAAGTAAATGTGATCAACTGTCTTACCATCTCAAACTTTTTTTCATTCCCTAATGTACTTCTTTGAGTTTTAATGTTTAATTCATGTGCATACAGAACCGGTAAAAAGTCGCTGCTGAAATTTTATAATCACCACTCTGCTTTCTCTAATGCACTATTTTATGCAAAAATGAATTACTAAGGAATCAATAATACTTCACGGAAAACATTTTCAGCTGAACTGATGTACTAAGAATGCTCAGATTTGAGAGGGGATTTGTTGTTGTTGCCAGCATAGTACGGGATGTATGAGCAGCTGTATTTTCACTCTCCCATGAATGACACCACTGAACAAGAAAATTTGTTAAACCAGATTCTCCAAGTGGTAAGTAAGCTAAGTCTAGAAGATGCACTAATTCCTTTTCTCTCTGGTGAAAAACACTGTCGAAGGTATTAGATTTAGATCAAGAAGAAGTAAATTCACTTGGGGGGTAAAAAAACACAGAAAACCTACCTCATACATGACCTTTAACATAGTATTAGTGACAAAAGTGTGAACTCTATTTGGAAGCAGCACTTAAAATACTGTTTTAAAGGGCTTTACAAGAGCAGCATATTCTTTGAAAAGAGATTTTCAAAGTAATATTCAATTTACATGAGTAAAACTATATTAAATTTGAAATTTAAAACAAAAACTTTCAGGAGGCAAATGCAATTATATGTGCTTTTATTCCTGTAACTCCATTTCCAAAATTTAATATTCAATTGTTTAAATTGCTGCTTTTTCTCATGTACAATGTAAATGAAGAGTGGACCACAGGAGAGACGTGTGAGATGAGCTGGAAAACACAGCTGTAAGGCAGAGAAAGGAATACAAGAGAAAACTGATAAGCTGAATAACGAACCCTCCCTCCCCCGCCACAAAGTTGTCCTTGCACTAATCCCCCAAACCTTTGAACATGTTACCTTCCCTGGCAAAAGGGTCTTAGGAGGTGTGGTTACGTTAAAGGTGTTGAGATGGGGAAATTACCCTGGTTTATCTGAGTGGTGCAACATAATCACAAGGATCCATAAGGAGGCAGGAGGAGGAGACACAGAGAAGGCGATGTGAAGACGGAAACAGAGGGAAAAAAGGTAATGTGTTGAGGGGGCATGAGCCAAAGAATGCAGGCAGCCTCTTAAAGCTGGACAAGGCAAGAAAACAGATTCTCTTCTAGAGCCTCCAGAAGGAACAAGGACCTGCCAAGACCTTGATTTTATCCCACTGAGACTGATTTTGGACTTCTGACTTCCAGAACCGCAAGATAGTAAATTTGTGTTGTTTCAAGCCACTAAGTTTGTGGTAACTTGCAGCAATAGGAAACTAATAACAACTTACTGTGAGGTGTATTAACAGTCTCTACAACGGCAGTGGCCATTTCTAGGTGCGGCCACCTGCAGGGTATGGTAGCCTTGGGCACAGATGGTTGTCTGCCCAGCATCCATTCCCCCTCCCTAACAGAACCCCAGTGCTCCTCCTGCCTGACTCACAGGAAGCTGACTCCACCCACAGAACCAGGGGAGCATTCTGCCTCCTGGAAGCTAATCACGGCCCTTCTCTGCCATTCACATACTCAGCTGTAAGCCATTCAGTGCCTTGTTACTGTTCTACAAGTAGGCAGGTAACCTAAGTTGTTCCACTCAGACAAAAGGGAAAGGCTTTATATTTTGGATTGTCTCTGTAACTGAACAAGAAAAGTAGTGCGCCCCAGCTGCTGGCAGCCATCTTGTAATCATCAGGGAAGCAAAGATAAACCTGCCAGAGGGAAAAGGGCAGAGGAGAGAAAACTACGAAGAATCATAGAGCGTGAGTGAATCATATTCTCAGCCACCCTCATCATGAGCTTCTTTTTTTACAAGATTAAAATATTTCTTTTATGTTTAAGACGGTTGAAGTTCTGGGATCTTTTTTCTGTTAAGATGATAGAACCATCCTAATTGATTCAGGAGGTCAGATCCTATGACACTGAAAAAGCTAGATAATAAAGTAGATGACCCACAAATGTGAAGGGTCAACTGAGGGAAAAAAGCAGAACCTTGAAAGCAGTGCTTAATTTGCTATTCTTGTTACATATCATCCAAATGTATTTTTCAAGAATGAGCAATTTATTTTCAATAAATCCAGGTGATGGTTTTTCGAAATTTTGAAACCAGGTAGGAGAAAGTTACATCCTTTTTTTTTGTGCTGAGGAAGATTTGCCCTGAGCTAACATCCAGTGCCAATCTTCCTGGTTTTTTTCTCCATGAGCCACCACCACAGCATGGCCACTGACAGACGAGTGGTGTAGGTCTGTGCCCAGGAATTGAACCCGGGCCATTGAAGAAGAGTGTGCCAAACTTAACCACTAGGCCACCGGGGCTGGCCCAAAAAGTTACATGCTTTAAACAGACTGTTTTGAATTGACTGAACAACCACACAAAATGCAGTGTGAAGTTTATCAAAGAGTGTGACTGAGTTTCTTATATACAATTTCATGCAAATTTTTGCCTGCCTGACGATTTTTAGTTTTTGTCCACCTGATGGATGAATAAACAACCCTCATCATGGTTCAGAACTGTGTTTCCCTGACTGCTGGTGAAATCGAGGGACATTTTTATTTCCTCTTCTGTGAACTTCCCTTTCATCTCCTTTGTCCACTTTTCTATTGGGCTGTTTGTCTTCTTATCAATTTGTAGGCACTCTTTATACAGTGGAGATATGAACTCTCTTAACAGCCATGATATTACAAATGCTTTTCACAGTCTAGTGCATGGGTGTGGCTCTATGCTATCTTTTGACATATAAACCGTTTTCTATGTTTTTAAAGTTGAACCTTGGGCCGGCCCCGTGGCTTAGCGGTTAAGTGCGAGCGCTCTGCTGCTGGCGGCCTGGGTTCGGATCCCGGGTGCACACCGACGCACCGCTTGTCCGGCCATGCTGAGGCCGCGTCCCACATACAGCAACTAGAAGGATGTGCAACTATGACATACAACTATCAACTGTGGCTTTGGGGGGAAAAAATAAATAAATAAAATCTTTAAAGTTGAACCTCATTTGTTCTATGGCTTGTGGGCCTTATCTCTACCTTGGGTGGTCTACCACTTCCCAAATTTATACATTCCCCTAGATTTTCTCCTAAATTCTTTATTATTTTGTTTTTATATTTAGATGTTAAATCAATTTAAACCTTAAGCCAATCTGATATTTGCTTATGTACATGATATGAAGCAAGGATCTGAGAAAGAGATAGACAGACAGGTTCTTCCAGCTTTCAGGGCTATAAATTAGATTATCTATTCAACGCTAATCTCAGTCTCATTGCTTTGAAGGAACCTCTGGTTTCTGCCTGAAAGTCTGTATAATTTTTTCTTAATCCCTGAAAGTCAAATGTCTGTTTAGGTTTGTGTCTGTTTAGCTAATTCTTCCTGGGACTCAAAGGCCTTTTCAGTTATCTAAGACATGACTTTTTTCAGCTTTTTCTTTTTATTAGTTCAATTATTACTTATTCTTCTCTCCTTCTGCCCTCACAATATTTGCAAGGTAGGTCTGGATCTGTCCTCAGGTCTTATTTATTAACTTCTGATTTCCATCTCTTTGAATTTTTGCTCAGTGTTGTGGGATATTTCCTCACAAAACCAATTTTGTTCTCAGCAACAATCATTAGCTTTTTCAGTTTACCTACTAAATTTTTAAATTAAGAAACTTAAGGTTTTTTTAAACTTTCTTTCACCAAGTCTTTTGTTGTTTTTGTTATAATGATTATCTCCCTCAGACTTCTTTGAAAATAAGTTCCTCCAGTTCTTCAGTCAGTTCTTGTCAATGGGGCCACGTGCTCCTCCATCAAGGTACTAATTACTCCTCAGGTGTGTGCACTCTCAGCTCAGGCCAAGGTCACACTTCTGGAAACTTCAGGGAATCAGCAAACCTGCACTAAGTATACCACACTTCCTGCCTCTGTTCTTGGGAACAACAGAAAAAGCACACAAAACCACGACCCCTTCATGCAGTGGCCGCTCTCTGACTTCCACAAGAGGCCGTGTCTACCCAGCCCAAAGTCCTGCAGCAACTCAGCCTGCTGGGAAAGCCCCATTTGTGTCTGACCAAGGCCAACAATAGAGAGAAGGCACCGTAGGCCCCACACAAGAAGGTGGAGAAGCAGCGTTCTCTTCTAGGGACCTCCATGATGGCTCAACAACCATCCCGAAATCCTGAGCTGCTGATCCACTCCTTCCCCTGAGACCCAGAGAGCACTTGGCAGTCTCACAGGTCCTCTCCATGGCCCACCTGCACAATTCCTGAGGGCCTTCCAGATGCTGGGAACTAGCAAGGGTAAGACAGGCCCTTGGTCTTATGCTTAGAGGTCACTAGTACTTGAGTGAAGGAGGGAAAATGAGAGGAGCCAGGAGTGTGCACACAACAGCCATCTTATCAGAATGCCTCCCTCGCCCCAAGGTTGCCTCGTTATGGTAATGCCAAGAGAGCATAGCAAGTCCTTCTAACTCACAGCTTCCTCTGAAGCCTCAGCATGACAGACAGAGCACATCAATAAAATCAAGTCTCTATAACCGAAAACCTGTAAAAGCCAGTAACTCTAATAATCAATTACTTTGGTATGTGTCAGTGCGTGTTATTACAAAAGTATTAAGAGATAAAAAGATGATGAATGACATACCTGTATGATTTTAGGCAATACATCAACTCCATTTTTAGTGTTTTGTGTTGTAGTTAGATACTTTTTTTCCAAAAAGAAAGTTACAATCCACTTAATAAAGACAACACGAGCTGCCATGTATGGAATTTTTGTACTGTAAATGTTTTCATTGTCTTGAGTTGTAGTAACGTACACTGGCTTTGGTCTCAAATGGGGGATGTCTGGAAGAAAAAAGAATACATGATTAGGTTAGTGATTCTTAATTATACAACCCCTATAAATGTTTCAATTTCCAATTAAATAGACATATATTTGGCTGTTTAAATAGTAACTAAGGTTAAAAAATCAGAAATGATTAAAAATGGCAACTTTTGGTAGGGTCATTTCTGATTCAACCTTGCAATCTGACCAAGACAGGGTGATGGTGGTTGTTATTGTTCACTTACAACTATGATATATAGCTGTGGGAAAACTAAGCTGATAACTCTTTTTAACACATTTGAGAAATTACATGAGATTGTAATAGTGAAAATCTTTTCACATATGTTATAACTAATTTAATCTTATTTTATGACTAGAACAAATGTAAAAGCATGTATAGACATTTTTTCATCATTTTAGGCATTTTAACATCCAACACTGCACTAATCAAATCCTTTTCCTTTAAATGAATCCAAAGGAATAGAATCAGTATAATCTACTTTATGTCTGAAAGAACTTCAAAGTCATGTTTCATCTTTGAGGTATAAGACACCACCATTTTCAAAGAATTAATAAGAGATCCATCCCTCATTCTTTAAATTCCATAATCAAGATGACAATTATACGGTATTGGATTTGAGATACTACTTGCTGTAAGTCCAACTCTCTTACTAATTTTTGTACACATGAAGGTACCTGCATGTACCTGCAGAAAAATTCTCAGCAAATAACTTTTAATCTCAGAATACTAACAATATAGTATATTTTCCACAATGAATATAGACTACTTATAAAATCAGAAATAAATTTTGAAAAAAATACCCACATAGATATAGCTAAGAAAATATATACTCAGTACCCCTAAACGTCAGTGTTTCCACATCTTTCAGAATGCACTGAGCTTCAGCTGTTTTCCCCTCGCTCAAGTGTGTGTGTGTACAAATAAACACCCATAGACAACTGAATTAGTTGTCTACATTCCCCAGATGGATTAACGTCTGCTGTGACCTTTTCCCATCCAAAATGTTCATTCATTTTAACTAATTTCACCCGCTTTAAAATAATAAGGAGAGGAAGATTTGCCCCCCACCTCCACATATCTCAGGAATGCTACTGTCCTGTGAGTCCTCATTTCTTTTTTTTTTTTTTTTTTTGTGAGGAAGATCAGCCCTGAGCTAACATCCATGCTAATCCTCCTCTTTTTGCTGAGGAAGACCAGCTCTGAGCTAACATCTATTGCCAATCCTCCTCCTTTTTCCCTCCCCCCCAAAGCCCCAGTAGATAGTTGTATGTCATAGTTGCACATCCTCCTAGTTGCTGTATGTGGGACGTGGCCTCAGCATGGCTGGAGAGACGGTGCGTCGGTGTGCTCCCGGGATCTGAACTCGGGCCGCCAGTAGCGGAGCGCGCGCACTTAACCGCTAAGCCACCGGGCCAGCCCAGTCCTCATTTCTTGTAGAAGGAAAACTTTAGGAGCTAAATTAGAAATTCTCTGCTGTTTCTTTCCCCTCTGGCGCTTGCTGTCCCTAGGTTGCCCAATTGCCCAAACATCTGCCCTTTCATAAGTAAGTAAGTAAGTGGTACCTGCGGGATAAAAGGCCAATATGAAAGTAAGGACAAACTGTGTGCAGCTATGTGGCCAGGGCTGGCCTGCCTGGCCACTGAGCAAGGTCTGGGGTCACTATATCCCACCACCTTAAGAGAAGACTTAAGGAAATGCAAGCTTCTTTTATATATTAAAAGATTTTAAATATAATTACACCAAAAAATAATACATTCCATATTATTTGTAAGCATAGGAGCCACGTTTCCCTTTATTGCTGTGAGTTGAGGTACATCTTAGTTTGAACAAATAGTTAAAATCATTTATTAGGAAACTTTAAACCTCTTACAATAAAGTTACCATTAAATATAAGAATAAGATGACTATTTTACTTTTAAATAATCAAAAGTCTCTTTGAAAGAGACAGTACAGCCTCCCTGTGGATGTCCTCTATATACGGCTCAATCAGTACTTACCAAGTACAGGTTTGTAGATGTTTGTTAACTTAGTAAATGATGGAAATAAATGAGGAAGATAATACTTTCGAAACAATGTAAAAAGAAATTTAAAACCAGTATCTTGATTCTCCTTATTCTTCCACTCCAAGCTTGCAGCCTTTGGATAATATGTGGAAAAGAACATATTGTATATTTACATTTCAAATTAATGTATACTAAACTGAAATGCTATCATACTATTAAAATTCCTATCCTAAATAAAAAACTTGACAAATAATATTGACAATCATGTAATGAAATCATATCTTAAAACTCAAAAGATGATAAGAATGAATACTTTAAAACAAAATAGTGACTATGTTAAAGCAGCATTTTTACTGAGTATTAAAATAAAAAATCACCCAGTGACAGCATATCTTTTTCCTTTTTTGTTTTTGTGTGTGTGTGTGTGTGTGAGGAAAAGCAGCCCTGAGCTAACATCCATGCCAATCCTCCTCTTTTTGCTAAGGAAGACTGGCCCTGAGCTAACATCCATGCCCATCTTCCTCTACTTTATGTGGGACGCCGCCACAGCATGGCCTGACAAGCGGTGCGTCAGTGCGTGCCCGGGATCCGAACCCGGCCTGCCAGCAGCAGAGCGCATGCACTTAACCACTATACTGGCCCCTGATAGCATATCTTTTTAAACTAGCACTACTACATCATGCCCATATTTTTTTCCACATGTTCTTTGTAATGATTTAACATTCCTTGCACCCTTAAAATGTTTAGTTAGATGCAATCAGATGCTTTATTTATTTATTTATTTATTTTGCTGAGGAAGATTGGCCCTGAGCTAACATCTGTGCTAGTCTTCCTTTTTATATGTGGGATGCCACCACAGAATGGCTTGATGAGCGGTATGTGGGTCCACGTCCGGGATCTGAGCCCACGAACCCTGGGCCACCAAAGCTGAGTGTGCGAACTTAACCACTACACCACTGCCCCACAGATGCTTTTTTTTAACTCAGAAAAGGTCATTTATAACAAACAGGAATTAAGGAAACAATCCCTTGCCAAGATTTCATCCAGTGTTACCTACATGTAAAATCAATATCAAAGGCAAAGCTATGGAATCTTGGAACATGCGTTTTCCTTATTAAAAGCATTCTACAAACTAAGATAAACTAGGCCTGCCAGTCCAGCTACATCTGCCAGTGGTTCTTATTAATAGGTGTTAGACCACAGAGCGCTCTAAAGCACAGCTTCCCAATTCCTTCATGATGCAGCCCACTTAGAAAATGATAATATTTGTGCAGCACCTGAGGTAAAGGGATGAGGGGCTTTGGCTGCCCCTGAGGCACAGGGGCTCAGTGTCTGTAACCTGTCAGAAGTTCTCCAGGGTGAGCCAAGGGAGAAACTCTGCTCTGAGGTCTCACCCAAGTACAGAGGTGAGGGAAGGAGAGAGGGACAGACATGCGTATACAATTCTGTACACAATTTAGGGGGTTCACAGTCTGCATGAAAACCTCCACCCTATATCAATGGCATCCTTCCTCTACTGGGATCCTGGGGATTACGTGACTTATCCGAGGTCACACAGCTCATTAGTGACACATCTAGAAAGGAAACCCAAGTACCCCACCACGTCCAAGTTCTAAATACTCTATGCTCATCTCCTGGGACAGATCGAATGCCTACCACTTCTGAACAAATAAAATTTGAGATGCATGCAGAATGTGCCCATAGAGCTTAACTGTGGGCTTCCCGAAGACAACAGAATACCCCAGTCGGCTCTCAGGATTTTGGAGTCCTTGTATTTCTGGTGCTGGCTAAAGGAAATGAGAGAGAAGAGCACACGAGATTGCCAGGACAGAGTAGTCAGAAAGGGCAGCTGAGGACTGAATCTTGAGGGACAGCAGAAAGAAATACAGCTCCCTAAAGAAAGCTGAAAAGTAAAAGAAAGGTACGAGGAAAGCCAGAAGAAAACATCACGGGAGGAGAGCATCTCATGAAGGAGGGTCATTGTCAAACTACCTGAAAGATTTAGTACAGCAAAAACTGAAGAGTGTCCTTCCCCTGGACTTGACCACTAGAACCCCTTCATGGTCTTGGGCCTCTGTCTTAGCAGTAACAGGCAGGTAACAGTGGGGGTCAAAGGAACGTTAGGTGAGGAAGTGGACTTGGCAGAGAATATTATGTCAACAAACCTGGTTGTGAAGGGGAGGACAGAGACTAGACTCTTCCCAGGAGGAACTCAGGGATAAGAGAAGTGTTTGCTAAGAGAGAAGAATTCAGTAGCTTTTTTTTTGAACCATATCAATGCTCAGAAATATAGACCAAGAGACATAAGTCACCTATTGAAATCATAAATTAATGATTTTAGTTCTGCATTCCCATGCACCCCTGTATTCTGTCCTGTATTTAGTTCTGTATTCTGCAGCCCCCTGCAGACGTCTGAATTGAGGTGGGCCAGGGCTGGCAGGAAATACAAGCTTTCATTTTAAAATTAAGTTCAGAGATTTTATTATTCCAGTTGGTAAATATAAGAGAAAGGAATATGTAACACAAAGCAGGCCTGTGTTGATGGCACGATGAGATAATTACATATGCTTTTGTTCAAATCTCCCTGCCTGCTCTGCCTATTCCTGATCTACCCATTCAGCCTCTGGGCCTGCATCCTCCTCCAACCTATCTCACTAGCATAGAGATCAGGGTTAGGGAAGCAATAAGGAGGCAAAAATACTTTAATACACTATGAGATAACAGAAAATATACATATTGGTCTCTGCCTCCAGTTCCTGGCATAGAGCTCCTAAAACCCTTGTAAATCCCTAAGTGATAAGAGCATTAGGAGCATCTTTTGTTCTAATGATGTGACTCTTTTTTTTTTTTAAAGATTTTATTTATTTATTTTTCCCCCCCAAAGCCCCAGTAGATAGTTGTATGTCATAGTTGCACATCCATCTAGTTGCTGTATGTGGGACGCGGCCTCAGCGTGGCCGGAGAAGCGGTGCGTCGGTGTGCGCCCGGGATCCGAACCCGGGCCGCCAGCAGCGGAGCGAGCGCACTTAACCGCTAAGCCACGGGGCCGGCCCCTGCTAATGATGTGACTCTGAATGGGCTCCTGAATGGGGCTGGTCACCAGAAAGACCAAGCCATGATTAGAACCTGGAATTTTCAGCACCCCCCCAATTTCTCCAGAGAGGGGGAAAGGAGCCAGCAATGGAGTTAATAACTGGTAATGCCTATGTGAGGAAGCCTCCATAAAATCCCAATAGCAGGAGTTTCAAGGAGCTTCCAGGTGGGTGATGCACCCCAACTCCATGGGGACAGAAGCTCCTGTGCTTGGGACCCTCCCAGACCCCACCCCATGTTATCTTTTCATCTGGCTGTTCATCAGTATCCTTTATCATATAATATCATATCCTTTAATAAACTTGTAAATGTAAATAAACGTTTCCCTGAGTTCTGTGAGCTGTTCTAGCAAATTAATTGAATCTGAGGAAGGAGCCATGGTAACCTCTGATTTGTAACCAAGTCTAATAGAAGTTGTGAGTAACCTGGGGACCTGCTACTTGCAATTGGCATCTAAAGTGGGGTGGGAACAGTCTTATGGGACTGAGCCCTTAACTTGTGGGATCTGATTCTATCTCCAGGTAGAAAGTGCCAGAATTGAATTAAATTGTAGGACATCTAGCTGGGGTCACAGAGAATTGCTTGGTGTGGGGGAAAAAACCCACACATTTGGTGACGTGAAGTGTTCTTGTGAATGTGGTAATAATATGAAAGTAAACCCAGACAGAGAACTGAATTTTTCCCTTTACATACACACTCACACAAAATAGTATGTATGCCTAGCCTTTGCTGAAGTGACCTAGCACATACTCTATGATTAGTGAAATATCACACAAAATCATCTCAAAAAAAAAAGCAAAAAAACAAAATATGAAGAAACGGGAAGAAAAGAAGCAATGTTTTCTTTTTCCCACTGAGAATAAGACTATCACCGAATTATGTACGATTTTGCTCTTACCTGAATAACCATATATTTCAACAGTATTTGAAGAAAAAAGCATGTTTGGTCCTCAGCGATCTTTTCCCCTGATATGGCTGGCAGGAGTGGAGTGATTTCTTCTGGATATATCTTTGCTGCAGAGAGGAAAACAATGAGAGCTCTTTCACCAAAGTTAAATTTTAAACAGGGTTTTTAAAAAATGGAATCTAGGGCCGGCCTCGTGGCGTAGCGGCTAAGTGCACGCACTCCGCTGTTGGTTCAGATCCCAGGCACACACCGACACATCGCTTGTCAGGCCATGCTGTGGCGGCATCCCACATAAAGTGGAGGAAGATGGGCACGGATGTTAGCTCAGGGCCAGTCTTCCTCAGCAAAAAGAGGAGGATTGGCATGATGTTAGCTCAGGGCTGATCTTCCTCACAAAGAAAAAAAATATATATATGGCATCTATTAAAATGCATCTATCCATCCATTGGAACTGCTCAGAATGAACTCCAAGCCAGTGTGCATGAAGGGCTTGGAAACATGGTACAGATGCCCACGAAGCCACCTCTCCCACTGGACCATTTTCTTCCCTTTCAAATTCCACTTTGGTTAGCCTAAGATCAAATACCTGTCAGTAGGAAATAAAGTGATGAGCAGTAATAAATCAATGGCCCTAAGAGGCAAGTTCTTTGAAACCTTACAGGACATAAATGGCTGCCATTAATAGTTCCATGAGGCCACTACTGTCCTTCCGTGAATGCTGCATGAAAATACACAGATGGCAAAAAATAGCCTGGGTGAGCAGATGAATGTCCACTTATGAAACAATAGTGATGAGAACAACAGACAGAAGTTTTGGATGGCAAATTTAAATCCTACTAACAGCCACGAAACACTGCAGACAGACCACGTGTCTCTACTTCCTGCTATTGCCAACATGTGTCCCCTCCCTTCCATTCCTATTCCTACCACTTCAGTAAATGTCTCCTGTCATCATTTCATATAAAATAGGCTCCAAGTCTTTTCAATTCTAATGTTTGTAAGAATCTACTGTGAATACAAACAGAATAATCTTCTTCAGAACCCATCTATGAAATCAAGATTTCTATTCAGGAAAATGACAAACCAAGGAACTCCTCAATGTAACTTCAAGAGTGATTTCAACCTGTAAGATCTGATAACATTACTTACCATCAGCTACACTAGGGCTAGGATTGATGAGTGTCTCCAGCGTACAGGGCCCTCTGGATGACATGATCGCTGGGAAACCGGGCACGAGGCAAGCAAAAATCAGCACCTGCTCTTCTGCACAGTTTGTCTGAAGTGCTTGAAGCCACAAAAGAAACAGTCTGATTCCTTCACATCTTACCTAAAAAAAAATTAAAGGCAATGAAATTAAACACATGTATTTGTAAGAACTGCATTGCAACACAGCATCAGTTCTGAGGAAGAAAAGCTAGAAGTTAAAGGCATTGTTAAAGTATTGCACCAAGTTTTTCACTTAGTGACAAGTAAGTAAGGATGCTGCAATGCAACACAAGAGTTAAGAGCTTGGGTTCTGGAGCCAGAGTGCCTGGGTTCAAATGTGAGCAGTGCCACTTTCTAGCTTAGCTGTCACCCATGGAGAACCACTTAACTTCTCTGTGCTTCAGTCTCCCCATCTGTAAAATAGGGATAATAACAGAATTTACCACAAAGTCCTGGTGTAGGATAAGGTGAGTTAGAACAGTTCCTGGCTCATGGTGAGTGCTATGTATTTCCTATTAATAGTATTTTATTTCATCAGGCAACAGTGCCCATATCATCAACACCAAATTATCCATGAAAACAATGCAAAGATAATCCTCCTCCAAATTTACACTATGCTTTGGATAGAATTTTTGTCATGTCACTACAGTATGCACTTGTATAATGTTCTTGAAAATCAGAACACTTAGAGCTAAACAAGACCATGAAGCCCTGGTTCATTGGGATAGGGCAGCTCTCCGGCTTCCATGCCTCAAGTCCCTACTCTATTCTCTCCAACACCTTCGCCGTGCTCTGAATGGTCGGCATCGCTTGGCAGAAAACCTTCAGATAAGCAGATGTGTTCTTTTGCTTCCTCTACACTTACTTTCAACTTCATCCCATTCCTAGAATTCATAAACACTGGTACCTTCATTTCTATACTCCTAAATGGCCGAAAAGATAATGTCAATAAAGGAAGTTATACACACAAAAAAGAAGAAAAGTATGTCAGATGCAGCTGAAAGATGTAGTAAGCTCCAAATGTAGGCAACTGAGGGACTGCTTGATCTCTTTTCAATTACACCAAGGTGGTGCTGATTCCTCCGGAGGAAGTGTGCGAGCCAAACACGGGGCTCTGCAGGAAAGCCAGGAGGAAGAGAGCCAAAAGAAAAGAAAGGAAAGAAGAAAAAGCTTGGTTGACGCTCCATAGAAGTCAAATACACCAAGACAGACACCCTGTCTGTGACAGTGCTACCCCATCAACAGTGGAATCCACAGCGCACCTTCAGACATGCTGGTGGACTCACCGCTGCTCTGCATAAACCTCCACGCCCCTGACACTGTCCTCCTCTCCCCACGCAGGCAAAATAACTACCAGGGTGAACAGAGTCAGACACGTTAGCTCTAAAGCTCAGAGAGGAACTGGTGCACCCCCTCCCCTTTTCCAATGATAAAAGTGAAACAGTTAGCACCTTCCCATGGTTCCTGAGCTATACACAGCAGAATCAAATTAAAACTCAGAATTCCAAACTCCAAATCTCAAGCCACTTTCTCCTAACAATATTTAAAACGCCTATCACAATAAGTTAAGATGTAAGAATAAAAACTCTAACAATATTTGTCATATAATTTCTCAAACATAAAAACTATAATTTTTTTTTTTTTTTTTGCTGAGGAACACTGGCCCTGAGCTCACACCCATGCCCATATTCCTCTATTTTTATATGTGGGACGTCTGCCACAGCATGGCTTGGTGAGCAGTGCATCCATCCGTGCCCGGGATCTGAACCTGAGAAACCCGGACCACCGAAGTGGAGCACGCAAACTTAATCACTACACCACCGGGCCAGCCCCTTGAGTGATTTTTAAAGATCCTTTCTTTTTTCAAAATGGCCTAACTTCGTCACCTTATGGCATTAATAAATTTAAGAGTAATGAAAAATGCCATTACATTTTCTTCTAAAATAAATACCTTAACAGAATTTCCAGTGTGTAGAAGCTTCTTTAAAGTTGAGCCTGAAAATTTAAAACAATGAATTAGAAATACAGTATATGAATGCATATTTAAGATCTATTTTTAAAAGATCAGTGTTAGAAAGAAAAAATGTACTTATGACAAAAGATATAATTTTTAAAAAATAAAAGGAAGAAGGCTCACCTTCAGAAGCAAAGCAATGTCATAGAAGGAGAGATGTTTTCAGAACAAAAGTACTTTAAGAATGAACGTCTTCAAAATTCTTTTAAAAGCGTCAAAATGATTGATATTAAGGTAACCCAAATGCCCACAGTGTATTATGTGCACATATCTCTTGTCAGGCATACAATGAATTATTTTTTTAAATCTCTGAAGGTAAAAATAATATAAAACTACCACTCATAAAACATTTTTACAAGAACATTTTACAAATATTCCAGACAGCATGTTTCTCTCCTTGCAATGACAACCACATTTATGGGTTTGGTCCATCAATAAATCATCTAGCAGAGCACTTTGGTCACTTGTCAAGGACAGGGAATCAAGGCTTACTCAGAACTACACCAGTCAACTGCAAAAACCTTGGTGCTGCAGCCCACTGTACTGAGAGAAGTCTCTCTTCTGAGGATGGAAACATATCTATTATCCTATAAATGTGTTCATGCCCTTAGTATGGAGATGGCTTGGCAACCCCAGCTAAATATCTTATGTAGCCTCTAAATAGGATCTTAACTTCAAGAAACGAAGTAATCTTTTAAAATAAAAATATATTGAAAGTCTTAAGCAAGAAAATCTTTTCTCCCAATCAAATTTTGAGGAAACAAATTTAGATCTCCTGATGAAAAGTTTTGTGCACTATTTAAAAATTGTATATCACATCACATTTACTTCACCAACATATTTCAAAGAGATGTTGTACCAAGAAACAGACCCAGTGTCTCAGTGATTGCTACAGGTCCTATCTAGGTGGACAGATACACACATGTCAGTTAAATGCATAACTCTAGGAACTCATTAGCCAGAACAAGCCCACTAACTACCTGAAGGAACCTTTTCTAACTGCTATACTGTTTATAATACCTAACACTGGGGCTCAGTGGAAACTCACCGTTGTCATGACTAGGTTACAGTACTAACACATGACTGGTTTGTAATTGAGAAAGGAAGTTAAAGTGCCCTCCTCCTTCTCCTTCTCCAGTCACCAAACCACGTCCAGTATTTTTTGGTCTAGAGTCACCATTTACCAGGCTGGGCTCTCTCACAGCAAAGCTTCAAGTGCCCGCGCTCATGAAGGATTTTATCCCTTACCTTTCCTCAACCTAGGGCCTTCTCCCTTGCCTCGGTGTTTATCCATTGTTGGACAAAGTCCGTTCTGCCTCAGTTCAATATTTGCTTCATTATGCCTATGAGGACCTCACAATGCTTGGCAGGGCCAACAGACACTTCACCTCCTGGGAGACTCAGGATAAAATCTACACAGACAGTTCTCTTCCCAAACATCTGACAAATCCATTATCTTGCAACATATTCTTGGAAACACTTTCTCCTGATCATTGGATGTGACTGCTGGGGCCCGTCAGTCTTTCCTCTTTTTGGAATGGGGCCAACATTTTTTTTTTTTTTTTTTTAAAGATTTTATTTTTCCCCCCAAAGCCCCAGTGGATAGTTGTGTGTCGTAGCTGCACATCCTTCTAGTTGCTGTATGTGGGACTTGGCCTCAGGATGAACGGAGAAGTGGTGCCTCGATGCGCACCCGGGATCCGAACCCGGGCCACCAGCATCGCAGCGCGCACACTTAACCACCAAGCCACAGGGCCGGCCCTTGGGCCAACATTTTTATTTTTAACTTTTAACCCACTCATAGTTGTCTATATCAACTCTTCCCTACACAGGGAGGAGAAAAATATACATGAAAAGAATAGACTTTAGAAAGAGACATACAGAACATAACGCCCCATATCTGTCAATAGCCCCTGACTTTTTGAAATTAATCTGTTAATTTCAAATTAATTTTGAAATTAATCTTATTTCAAAATTATTTTGAAATCTGAAATTAATTTTTTAAAGCAACAATAGAAAACTAATACATATATATTTGCCATATATGTTGTACTCAGAAACTCTTGTACGTGTGAAGCAGTACAGTTTAGTAGTTACAACCCAGATTTGGGAGCCAGATTGCTAGGGTTCAAATCTAGGTTCTGTGCTTACTGTGTAATCTGGGTCAGTTACTTAATTTCACCATGCCTGAGTTTTCTCATCTGTAAAATGGGATAATAACAGTGTCTACCACAGAGAATTGTAATGAGGTTTAAATGACCTAATATATATAAATGCTTAGAACAGTGTCTGGTACATGGAAAGCACATTTTCCTCAGAAAACAGGCCATCAGCTATTCTCTAAGGAACTCTTTTTTAATAGGAACAACATTAGAAAGAAATATTTGTGCAGTAGGCGTACACAGCAGAGGGTTTCAACTTGAGACCTGAGAGCCTAGCCTGGCCACTTTAGGTATTTCTCAAGACCCAAAGTTCACAAAGATATTTCTACTCTACCTTTACTATTATGAAATCGTTTTCATTTTAATCTCAAAAAGTTTCTCTCTATATATCATTCCTGTTTGGATTTTTAAACTCTTCATCTAAACTATGATGATACCCACCCCCATCCCTTTTACATGCCTCTTCAACCCTACTGGTTGCCATTTACATTGATTCATGTGAAAAAAGAATAAATAAATGAGTAAATAAAATCTAACTCGTTGTACTGATTCTATGAACTTCTAACTTCTATTGACTAACTTTTATTGTATTTTAACAATAAATATCCTTTGAAGGTAAGTCTTATTACCTTTGAGGAGGCAGTAAGACTACCAGGGCTGGGACTAGGATGAGAAGAGGAAGGGCTCTGCACAAAATTTAAGAGGGTACCAAAAAACACAGTAATCAAAATAAATAATATTTTAATGCAATAGTTTTTAAAAATAAAAAATCAGTGCAAAAAATCCATGATGAACAATATTAAAATTTTAAATAAGTATCAGTGTTGAGCTGAGCCATATCAGAGCCTGAGGTAAAAGGAAAAATATGTACCCCTATATGTATGTTTTTATGTATTTTAATGGTTTTTTTCCAGAACATTAAAGTAGTTGAAAAAATATTAAAAAGTCAAAAAGCTCAATCTTGAAAAATCGAAAAATATTAAAACTCACATTAGTTTAAATATTTTATTTATCACACAAAATGTATTATAATTTCATTTTCCTGGCTTTAATGGAAGCAAATTCACCAATATTTTCAAAATCTACTTCTTTGCTTATCTCATTTTTCAATTGTGAGAATTGCCATGCTTGACAATTTCTCCTGACAAAATGGCAATCTTTTAAAGATATTTTTAAGGCCACAAGTTCACAAAGATATTTCAAATCTAACTTGAACATTATAAAATCTTTTCTTATTTAATTTTTTAAAAACTCCCTCTGTATATCATGCCTCAAATCAATTAATAAGCAACGGCAGTGCACAACCAGAGAAGGGGCAAGAACACAGAGAAACACCCTCTGGGGTGCCGTGGTGCAAGGTCTTCTAGAAGCTGCCAGTAGAGCAGGACACAGAACTTTCCGGCACTACAATATCTACACCAAGCACAAGGGAGCAGCAGTCCACTGGAGGAATTTGAAATTAACAAAAATTTTCTCAAAATGAATCAAGGATCTAAATGTGAAACATATAAATATAGAACTTCTAGAAGAAAACATAGGTAAAGATCTTTATGATCTTGGGTTAGGCAAAAATTCTTAGACATGACACCAAACGCACAATCCATAAAAGAAAAATTGATAAATTGGACTTTATTGACACTAAAAATTTATACTCTCTGAAGAACACTATTAAGAGAATGAAAAGACAAGCCAGAGATGGAAAGAAAATATTTCCAAGTCATATATCTGATAAAGCACTTATATTCAGAATATGTAAAGAACTCTCAAAATTCAATATTAAGAAAACAACTCAATTTAAAAAATAGGCAATAGATTGTAACATACACTTCACCACAGATATACAGACAGCAAATAGCACATGAAAAGATGCTCAAGATCATCAGTCATTAGAGAAATGCAAATTAAAACCACAATGAGATACCACTACCACTAAAATATAAAGGCTGACCATACTAAGTGTTGACAAGAATGTGGAGTAACTGGAACTCGCACACTGCTGGTAGTAATGTAAAATGGTACAACCACTTTGGAAAACAGTCTAGCATTTAAACATATGCCTTTATATGATTCAGCCATCCCATTCTCAAGAGATAGGAAAGCACATGTCCACACAAAGACTTGTACACAAATGTTTACGGTAGCTTTATTAGTAGCCAAATACTAGAAATAACCCAAATGCCTATCAACAAGTCAACAGATAAACAAACTATGGTATATCCATACAACAGAATACCGTACAACTCAGAAATAAAAAGGAATGAACTATTAACATATGCACCAACACAGATGAATCTCAAAATAATTATAGAGTGAAAAAAAGAAAAGAGTATACATTGCATGATTCTATTTCTATAAGACTCTAGAAAATCAAACTAATCTATAGTGACAAAAAGCAGATCAGTGGTTGCCTGAGGACTAGGGGGTAAGGTGGGGAAGGGTGGGAAAGGAACATGAGGAAACTCTGGGAGTGATGGCTATGTTCATTATCTTGCTTGCACAGGTGTATACTTATGTTGAAACTTACCAAAATGTACATTTTAAATATGCACAGTTTATTGTATGTCAATTATACACCAAAAAAGCTGTTTTTAAAAAAAGAAAAAAACAGAGCAGGTGGACTGGAAGTGATTGAGTTAAAGATCAGAAGGATGGAGGTTATGGTCAGACAGAGGTCTGCATGACGACAAGGATCCAGAAGAGAAGTCAGGAAGCCACAGAGGGGGAGGAGGTCAAGGGGCTGATAGGTAACTTGGCATGAAGGAAAAGGACTGGGAGAGGGCTAAGCCATTTAAAAAACAAAGCAAGTGAGCAGGAGATCAGAGACGTGACAGCAACAAGGGGGGACAAGGTAGCATAGTCTAGGGGGAGAGGTTTCCACAGAGAGGGTGGTGGATGATGTCTGGAATTGGCTTTGGATTAAAAAAAAAGACCATGATCTCACCCCAATACCCCCGAGGGAGACAGGCGAGCCTCAGAGAAAACCCAGGTTTCGGTAGCCAAGGAGGCAAGGCAAAAGACTGAGGTTGTAGAGCTGCTGCTTAATTCAAGAAGAGGTCTTTCAGAGGGCAGAGCACAAAGAAGTGGGAAGGAGAGGAAGAAACACAGATCAATGATGGTGAAAGCACCGCAGAGGGGACTCCGGGAAGACACCCAGTGAGCTGAAGGGGCATTAGGCCCAGCCACCCCTGGTGGGCACAGAGGCATGCAGGGTCCTTGGATTTAGCTCAGCCTGGCTGTGATGCATCTTTGAGGTAGTCTTAGTGTGGAGTGGATGGGGAGACCCTGCTCCCTCAGGGAGAGTGGACTATGGTGTGGCCTGACTGTGAGGGACACAGGGAGGGCTGTCAGACTCAGGCTCTGAAAGAGAGGTTAGAGCCCAGTGAGCAGTAGAAACTTCAAGAAATGAGCCTTCTCAGAGGTTGTGTTCACATCCCAGGGAATATGAGGCCACTGGGTAGCCGAAGGAATAAAGCCAGAGACACTCTTAAAAAGTCATAAACAGGGGCCACCCCGGTGGCTCAGCGGTTAAGTGCACGCACTCCGCTTTAGCGGCCCGAGCTTCGCGGGTTCGGATCCCTGGTGCTCACCGATGCACCGCTTGTCAAGCCATGCTGTGGCGGTGTCCCATATAAAGTAGAGGAAGATGGGCATGGATGTTAGCCCAGAGCCAATCTTCCTCAGCAAAAAAAGAGGAGGATTGACACTGGATGTTAGCTCAGGGCTAATCTTCCTCACCAAAAAAGAAAAAGTCATAAACAAATCTGCAGTGTAGTTATGTATGCACTTGGTTTTTATACTACATATGAGAAAAACCTAGTTGAGCAAACCAGATTTAATAATGATTCAAATATAAAAACACACATGAATAATACTGTATTCTGTATTTAGCACTATGCACTGAATGGGACAGGAAATCTGCTTTCTAGAGGCTTGTGAGCAGCAAACCCTCTTAAAGCAAACTTACGTATAAGTTGAGTCCTGTACTGATAACACAGGGCACATGAAGGGGTGCCATAGACTGCCCTTGCACCAAATATCCCTGGTTTGTTGATGTGCCATTCTTGGTCATCTCCTCACTCCCTTTTAGTTCTCATTATTGCACAGAGAGAAGGCTTCAAGCAGCCACCTTTATCCACCATGATTTACTGGCCTAAAAATGACTTCAGGAATAATTTGACAAACAAATTTTTTCCATTTTAATCAATAATGGAAATTTACAAATAGTTGAGTAGCTGGTTAGCACACATCACAGAGTCATGAGTGTTGTGTCAGCCACTTCCCTAATCTTCTTACTCTCCAAACATCACTTGAAATAGTATCTCTAGATGCTTGGAATAATGAACCAGTGTTCATTTCACATTGCAAAACTTATAGTTCAAATATGCTTCCTCATTCAATGATTTATAGCAAGGAGCCAGGATTAAAAACCTTAAACAACGAGAAATTGACAGACTATTTTTTCCCTCTAAAAACAGTTTTAAGAGAAATAGAATGCCTCTCTGCTACAGATAAAACAATGTGGCATGATAAGAAACAGACTTCAAACACTGGCAGTCGATATTTCAAATTATTTTCTTCCTTCTCAGGGTACAACGTGGCTATTGGTAGGTCTGAGAGCTGTTCAGACTAGCAGAATACAGGAGTTGCTCTTATTTTAGGTTTCTATGCTTAGTAACACTGTCATCTATAGTGAGGACAGGAAGCATGTTGAATCAGTGGTGTGTAAACCAAGCTTCAAGGTTCTAACCCAATATTTCAGAGTACCTTGGTCACTACCAGCTGCAACAACACTTAATTGAGAAGTTTACACAGCAGTGTTCTTCCTATTAGGTAGGGAATACTAGACATCTGGACTGCAAAAAATCTAAAATAAGGAATATTAGATACCTGGAATGTCAGGTACTGACCAGTGAAGAGCTTCCCGCCCTAGCTTCAGAGGCTTTGCAGAAGTCAAGATGCCAATCCTAGGGAGATATTTAAGGCACTTTCCTTTCCTTTGAAATCTAACGTTTCCTTATAGTTTCCTAGTTTCTACAACTAACTTGGCCAAGACCTTGAGTGACAAATGGTAACAGTTTTCATAAATCCAAATAAACTGGGAAGAATGCAAGAATACATACAGTGAGGAATGTAAAAAAATGTGTAGAATTACAAACTCACAAGCCCTTATCAGCAATTTCAAAATCCAAAAAACTATGAAAACTGAAGCTTTTTGTGTGTAATTCATTAGTGGACAGGACCTGACCAGATGTGAACTCATGTGGTGGCAATACCTGACTAACCTGACTGAGGCTATTTTGGGTTTAGTTATCCCCTTGATGATGAAGACTCATATTTTAGGCTACAAAAATAATACCTCTCTTGGTTACAGGGTACTGCCCAGACCTCTGGACAGTACCATCACGTTAATGTTTGTTGTATATCAATGCACCATACTGCCATTCTACAATATGAAAAATTCTGATTCCAAAGCACATCTAGCCTGAAGATCATCATAAAAGAGACGTGGATCTCTATAAACACCAATTTCTACCCAGTTTGACAAATCATGCAAAAATATATTTATCTGAAAAGAGCTTGTTTGATTCGAGCATTAAGTATATAAGCAACAATAATAAGGATGATTTTATAGCAAATGCTCATACTTCAGCACTCTAAAATATGACTCATTCTGACCATGTTATAGAGCCAGTTCATTCTACACACAAACTAGATAAACAACACCTGTTCTTATGACGGCTCAGGAGATCTAGCATTCTGCAATCCCAATCCAAGAGTCACTGTGCTCAGGAAGATGCCATTAAACTGGGTAAAAAGCTACTTGTACCAGCAATTTGACTGTTTTATTTTTACTTTCATTTAAATACATAAGGCCAAAGTACCAATTAAGCGGAAACACTGTCAACAACTCTCTAAAATTTAAAGAAAAACTTTCTTTGTGAGTTTGAAAGATTTACAAACCAAGGCACTATCTTTAAGATTTATTCATTCAAAATAGATGTATTTACTATATATACTTTACTTTCTTTACATTTATAACATATAACTTAAAATAATTCAGTTTTTAAAAGAGTCAGTTACATTTTTCACATAAATAATCCTAAATTAAATTTAAAATTCTCAATTTTGGAATATCCACTGAACGTGCCATGTTCTTTCAGGTTCCATGTCTTTTACATATTGATCTCCCACCTAGAAAGCCCTTTCCACACTTTCTACACTCATCTTTCAAGGCTCAGATCGAAATTGCCTCTCTTGAAGCCTTCCTCAATTCCTCTGAATAGAATTACTCAACTTTTCTTCTTTGCTACCATTACACTTCTTTTACAGGGCCAATTAGTACTGTAATTTTTTTTTCTCATCTAACTCTCACTAGGCAATCAGCTTAAACAATAGAAAGACAGTGAGACATTCTTTGTTTTTGCCCCAGAACTTTGCACACAAATATCTCTCCCTCAATAAATACTTGAATGAATGAATGATCAAATAGTTAAGATTCCATTATAAGGTTATGCTCTCCTCAAATATGATCATCTGGTAAGGAAGAAAATGTGATCACCTGGTAAGAAAGAAAAATTGTAGGACTAAGCCAGACATTCTTTAAACAGAAGGTAGAATTCATCGTCAATACCACAAATTTCTCCAGTTGTGCTGTGGATATTAAATTGAGATGAAATGCTGTTCGATGTCAAAATCTGGACAGAAAGGGCAGCCACAGTAACTTGCTTTATTTCAAGTTTCCTCTTGCTGCCGCGTTCTAAAGTATTGATCCTAGATCAATGTTTCTCAAACTTATTGTGAAAATGTTAAAAATGCAGACTGTGATGCGGTAGGTCTGGCTGGGGCCTGAGATTCTGCATTTTCTAACAAGCTCTCAGGTGAGGCTGATGCTGCTGGTAGCACTTTCAGAGCAAGAGATAGATATTATATTTTCCTCCAAGTCCAGGTTGGACTCGTCTCAGTTGTAATTAGCATACCCTTGTTAATATTACTTGCTATAACCTATCTTGATGGTGTTAAATATATAAAACATTACTGAAAATTCAATTGGAAGAAATTCATATTACTCTAACATTTTAAAATTGTTCTTACCTATACTCTGATAATGCCATCGAAAGAAAATTCGTTCAGGTAGAAACTGCAGTATCTTCTATAAAACAACAAAAAAAAATGTATAAGAGAAAATAAACTACAAGTGAAATTACACATTTTCATGATAGGCCCATAGTACTTGCTATCTATATTTCAGAAAAGAAAAAAAACTCTTTGTAATAACATCAGTACTGCACTTTATCCTGCACCCCTATAGGATAGTTTCTTTTACTTGCCCCAGGCAAGCTCTCTTCCCTGAATGTTTTATAGAGATTACTGTCCCAAGTTCAATTCACCCTAAAAGAAAATGAGAAAAAAAACCTACAATGATAATTTTATCTTAATTAAATCATAGCCATTGCTTAAATATTAAAAGAATAATTTCCCAAATGCCGGATTCCCCAGGCTTCTTCTCTTCCACCTTCCACTCCCATTCCCACTTCCCAAACACGCTTACTTACAGACACACACCATACAACGCGCACACATGCGTCAAATCCCACTTAGTGAAAAATATCTACACACTAGATATCAAGCTTGGCATTTGAAATATAGACATAAATACGAATAAAATACTTAGTTCTTACTTCCAAGGGTTTCATGATTAATGGGCAAGAGAGATGGTAAAGAAAATATCATCCAGGAAAAAAAAAAAGACTGACAGAAGTTTGAGGTGCTACAGAGGTGAGGGGGAAAGCACCTCATCTCAGTAGGGGCCTCATGGAACGCTTCCTGAAAAAAGAGGACGCTTGAGCTGAGACTTACAGAGTTAATTAAATTAGCCTGGCAGAGAACAGAAACAGAAGGAAGGGCACGTGAGAAGGCCAAGAGGCAAAGACAGCCTGCTGCCTAAAAGAACAGCAGCAGCAAGAGGGTCCACTGGGCTGGGAGGTGGGTAGGGAGGGGAGGAGATGGGACTGGAGAGGCAGGTGAGGCCAGGGGTTAATGTTCTCGTGGAGCAGTGTGCAGTCCCTGAACAGGGTACAGCTGGAAGTGAATTTAAGATGGCTGAGAAGAGAGGCAGAGCTATCAGTGAAGAGGCAGTGATAGTACTTCAGATGAGGAATAAAATGGCCTGGACCAAGATCAGCAAGGGAAAGAAGAGACGCGTATAAGTGGTATTCAGAAGGTAAAATTGTCAGGATGGGCAGGTATAGTAGTTGTGGTAAATGGATGACTGAAGAACGACTCCCCAGTGGCTTAGTAAATGGCAATACTTTTATCTAAGGCATCAAGTCCAGAAAGAATCCCAGAATTGAAGCATATCAAGTTTGGTTCTGGACATCCTGGAATTTGAGGTATCAATGAACTATCTTAGTAGAGATGTTTTTCTAGGCAATTGCATACATTGGTGGGGAGTGCAGGAGCAGGATTTGGATGGTAACAGGATACAGGTAGCAGCTGAAGATGTGTGTAGATGAGATCCCTCTGGGGGAGAGCTTAAAATGAGAAGATGAGATGAAACCCTAGAGATATCAGTGCACTGAGGTTCCCCTAAGAAGGTACAGCAGAAGCCAGAGACAAGTGTGCACAGGTCAAAGGAGAAACTTTTGATGTGAAACATTTGATGTTTATGCTTACTTGTTTTAAAGATTAGAAATACTTATGACTATTTACTTGCATAACTAGTTAGAAAAAGTTAAAGATGCTGGAAAATGTTGGAAAATTGATGCCATGTGACAAAGTGACTTCAGTATTAAATCAAGTGACCTCAGTGCTATCTATTGCCCAGAGAACCCACAACCTTTGTCAGCCAGACACCAAATGCCAGGCAGGACGGATCCACCTATACAGTGCGCAGAGGCAAGTGGTTCTTTGGGGGAGAAAAGATCAAAATAGGTCTTCACCTTGCAATATACACCAACATGAATGTTAGATGGATAACACACAAAAGGAACTAAGTGTAAAAATTTGGTTATATATAAGCTCCATTACATTAAAAGGGAATCAGAAGTTAAAAAAAAAGTTCCCTATAGAATATTTTAATAAGAACCCACGCGAGCACTGTCCTACCAACAGAATGTAAACCTGAACATCCCCATGAGCTGTAGAAGATGACACAGATGGGAGTGAAAACCCAGAGAGCTGTCTACAGATTACAGGAAAACATCACAAGCCAAGAGGTTAGTACAAGAAAACCAATGACTCTGAACTGAGAATAAGGAGGAGGGTCTCAGCAGTCAGGCTGCTGCCAAGCCAAATGAGCAACTCTAGAGCCCAGAATAAGCACAATCTGGGGATGGGCTGGGAGGTTTCTAGGCTGAAGAGAGAAAGCCTCTATTTGCACCTAAGTTTTATGATTCTTTAGCTCCAAGTTCCACATGTTTGATAACAAACGAATAATAATTGTTGTAGGTTGAGTTCTCTGGGAAACAGACGCTGTGGTGGGGTTAGGAGTGCCAATGGTTTATTGGGCAGTAATATCTGTGAAAGTGAAATGAGGAAGCAGGATTGGGCAGGGAGCCTAAGACCACCACACAGCTGACAAATCTCTGCCAGCCCAGCAGGAGCTCCAGAGCAAAGACGGCCTGTTAGAGGAGCACCATGTGCCTGAGAATGGCTAGGCCCTTGTACCAGTGCCTTGCTAGGGCATCAGGTGGGCACTACGATGGAAGAGCATGATCAAAGCTAGAAAGCTAAAGGCCTTAACAGCTGGCAGCTGGGCACTCCACCCCTTGCAGCTGGGCACTCCACCCCTTGCAGCTGGGCAGCAAATTCTTTCTTGAAAGAGGATGTGAGCAGCACATCTCTATGTCTGCCACAATAATCTTCAAATTATTAATTAGAATATTCTCATAATATTAAGAGGCTGAAGTACTAAGAGAAGTGTACCCTACTTCAGGCACATGGTCTCTGCTGGCATTGTTTCTCATCAGTTGGCTGCAGCCTCACATTGAAAGAAGCCTGGGCCCAGTGAGTCCTTCCCATACTTTTCCTGCCTCCTTCCATGTAGTTCACTCTTCCTGAGTAAATAATTGTAACTCATTGTCCTACTTTCTCATGCATTCTCCTCCAAGGGGATTTGGCACCCCAGCTATGGTCTAGGATCATCTTCTGATCCCATCTTGCCACTTAATTTTAAAATGTCGTATAGAAGGCACAAAGAAAATTACTCTAAAGATTCGGGATAGATCTTATCTTGGACTAGATGAATGCTCAGCATGCCCACTGTTCTTCAGATCTTTACTTTAGTCAGGAAAGCAATTCGGCACTGAATCATGCTTTTCAGCTTTCCAAAACACTTATCAGTCTTCTTGATTTAGGTTTATTTTCTTAGCATGCAACAAAGAAAAACGTCTTTTTAATATAATGAAAAATAAAGAACACAGCAAAATGATGTGTATCTAGATGCTTGGATACTAGTGGGCCACAAGTAGTCTCCAACTTGTTCTGAGGGCAGGCTTATCACCATCACCACTTCTGGATAAATGTTTTCAGATTTACAAAATGGATGGACTTTAAAGACACTCAAAAATAAACTCAATAAGGTTTGGATATGAAACACTGTGCCCAATGTCTGAGCTACGAAAATATTCCCAAACAGACAGAATCTTATAAAACAATTCAAAGACTGAAACATCACCCACACTGATGCTTCTTTTTGCACCCAAATACTCCAAGGGCCATTTTTTATGCATTAAAGTCTACGAGGTCAATAAAAATAAAGCCCCACACAACCATCTGTGTCTAAATGCTAAGCCTGTCCCTCAGAAAGTCCCAAATGAAGCCTACCTTTACTGAGGCAAATACAGCATGGCATTTCTACTGCAGCCAAGATTCTAAGCTACACTACTGTGAATGCCACATAAGCTACTGACATCTTGTTTGTGGTTTCACTGGAGAGTAAAATAAAAATAAAGAAAAAATTCAGGAAAGCCACACAGTGTGAATAAATATTGCTTTTCTGAAAAGCACATGGCTCTGTTTAATGCTCAGTGCTCAGCTGCATCTATATGATAATCCATTATAGCACATGAAATCGAAATTAGGTATTACTACTGATCAGCACATCAGGGAATCTGTCATTCTTTTAACTGATTATCCATAGTTCTTTTTTCTTCAGAACCTACTACATGACCAGGAATAATATGAAATGTAAGCTGGAGTTTATACACGATGCTACAGTGTACTTTAAAACTGCTGATCTTCGTCTCATTTGTGTGGGAAACATTTTTTTTTTCAATTATTACCAGATTATTGCAACATATCCCAGTAGATTCACACTTGATTTCAATGCCACTTAGAAAGGTAGCACAGTGCAGAATGAGAAAAATGTCATATACTAACTCACGTAATGTAATCTACTAAAAGAATGGCCAACTAAACCTGTTAAGTCCAAAAGTAGAGACTGTGGGGAGCAACTCTCCCTGAAACTAGCTGCATGACAAAGAGTGCTAGGTAAAGAAAATGTTGACCACGGAGAAAATAGAAAGTTTGGTTTAAAAAAATAGAAGTCTTAGTTACTTAACCTCTTGAGTAATAAATGTTCAGAAAACTTATGATGAGAACTGGGCAGTTAGGTTTAAAGGAGACATTCTATGAATGGCTGTGCTACAAGGATAGTCCGGTTTCAGGAGGACCCACATGAGTAGAAGACCAGCAGCATGGATGCTTCCGGGGAGACCTATGGAGAGGGCAACTTGTTCTTCAGCTCTCTTGGGCCTGGCCATTCATCTCTTTAAAAATGACTCGACTTGCTAACGTGGACAAAATATTTTCATTGAACTCTGAGTGTCAAAGCTTGTTTGGAACCTTAAAATTTAAGAGAAGTAGAGCTAAAATAAGGAACTACATAATCTTAAAAATAAGATGACTACATTTTTAGCTAAAAAAGTAATGCTTTTCTTCTTATACCATCAATGCTTTCCCGTACAGTACATTATCTATCTAATCACTAGCCATGCTGTTCCTGAATAAGGAAAGCACAGTTCCATCTTCTTATACCTCTTTCATTCTTTAACACCAAACTCAAACATCACCTCTTGAGAAAGGCCCACGACAATCACACCTCTTACCACATCCCTCACCGCATGCCTCTCAGCTAAACGGCCGCAGGGC